TCTCGATTCATTTCCTTCATTGTGCGCTGTTATGTTTTTAGACACTGCATGAAATTCGTGCGGGTTGTTAAAATGCATCGTATTTCACTCTGAGTTTAGCTGAAAGATCGTACATCAATGTCGATGACCTGCTACAAGAGTACGATAAAAAAGTAACAAAGAGATGCGTAAAAAGTACTTTATTTTTGAGCAGCAAAACACACTGATATTACAATTTATTCAATCACAGAGTTCCCCATTGAAAAAATCTTTTTTCTAATCGCATTTGTGGCCAAACGCACTTAAAATAAATCTGAACATGCTATCACGAACCTTTATCCTTAGGCTATTATCATTGACGTGTGCCACCATTCAGTAAAATAACAATATTTAGCAGATCAATCAATTTACCTAATTGAGAACAATCCGTTACAGCTTCCTTATTTCACAGGTGAAGGGCGACGCGTGAGAGTGACAGATCTTACAAGACTCATTTAACCGTTCACTTACTTAAAACAACGGATAAGAAGCTTTTCTCTGTCAACGAGATGAATTAAAACACAAAATCTATTTCCCAAATGGATTTGAAATTCTCTAACCTATCATGAAAGCAGTGATAATTGACGTAAAAGTGTGACACTCTGCGACAACTGAAAGATTGCCATTGCCAACGCTTGTGACGGCCCTCCCAGAACGCTTGTTTGCATGTCTCTCATTCGAACCTTGCTGAGAGAAAACTAATATTTTTTAATTTGTAGGTCCGTGTGGTCAAGCATGGACATGATGTGGGTCAAGCACCTGTCCTATGAAGTAAGGTGAGTTGACCATGTGGGTCCACAAGAAATACCTCTGGTCAACTGTATATTCAACCATGAAGATTCATAAATTTTATATACGAAGATGTTTTTCAGGAACAGCTGCCGCTCTTTTATGAATTATACGTTATAAACCGGATTGCATCTGATTTCTTTCAAATATCTTCAACAGACAATATGGAAGTTTATGCAATTAAAACAGCAGGATAATCAATACTGTCACCATGTCAACATTGTAATCTTTGTGGGAAAAAAAGAAAAATAAATAGAAAGAAAGAAAGAAAAAACATTACTCGAAATGAAACGACAAAGTGCTCTTTTATGTTATATTCATAAATAGTAAAGAATTGTTGTGAAGTATATTCATAAGTGGCAGGGACAAGCAGGTCGCTGTCACAACATAGATGTTTTATTATTTCAAAATCAAATAACCGCATTTTCATTACGCATCTCACAATGCGCTGAAGATATTATAAATAATCAGCTATTGTAAAAAAAAACCTTCAAATAAGTAGTCACATTTGTCTGATATGAATATCAGGTTCAGTATTGATGATTCTAAACAATCTTATCCTGAAATATGTGTGTGTGTGTGTGTGTGTGTGTGTGTGTGTCCCAAAAATCCTAAGTAGATTATGACGTTTATAATGTGTACCATTAACACACTAGGAAACTGCAAACAATCGCCTATTGAAAATTGTTTCAAAGCCAAGTTTGTTTTGAAACAGAGACCAAGTCATTTATGTCGCAAGCTTTTTAATAATCTGAAGTTGCAAATGTATCATTTTCAGATTGATTGTACAGATTGAGATGGGCAGATTTATCCAGAAGTAAATCTAATGTACAGGTAAATTTAGATATTTGACATTCCCGTGGAACAGGTACATCAACGGGGTAATTGTCTTTTAAGTATTAAAAGTATTTACCGGTATTCCAACTATATGATCTGGTATATAGGTTTAGTGCATTCCACATGGGTCTAGCCAGGTAGATATGCGGAGTCTATATTCTAGTATTCACTTAGAATACTGTAGGCTCTACTGTAGATATTAAAAGATATGGTTTAAATATCAAATGTATTCGGTGATATCGGAAACGACAGACAGATAAACGAGAATAGACGGGTGGGTGGTGCGCAAGCAGAGAGAGAGAGAAAAACAAAGACGTAGACGAAAGAGAGTCACAATTAATTCAAAAGTCTAGTCGCAAATTTATACAACAAAGTCTACTAAAATACTAATGAAGATAAATATTTGCGTTCTTTGGTTTAAAATAAAATTACAGTTATAAAAACAAATATACATATGAAATCAAGAGGCCTATGTACTGGTACACTAAGCACAAAACGCAGGGGCAAAACCTTGCAAACCTGTATTGGCTTTTTTTCCCCAGTCATTTCTCTCAAATAAAATACCCTGCAAAACCATTTACCTGACATATTGCTAATAGATGATACTTACCCACTGATCGACACTCAACATTAAAGATATAAAACATTGTCCTGGTTGATTTCTACATTGTACAAATTACTGGATGAAGATGGATTCATGAAACCGATTGTGCATGGCGACAGCTAATACTAGAATATAGATAAATGCGGTGAGTATAGGTGACGGGTAACAAAACATTCTTTTGTGTATTCGCAATTTTCTATCAAGGTCCTAAAATAAAATGTATTTACTTGTGTAATTTTTGCAGCATTAATTTGAATTCGAGTTTATTCATCACCGAAACAAAATCTTGATTTCGATCATTATATTTCTCTAAACAAAAGTAGAAAATGTGTAGAAATCGCAAGCTCCTATTTTATGCACTTCAGTGAAAGCGTTGTGAAGGGGGGGGGGGGGGGTCATCGACCTGGACAATGTCCCGTTTGTGAATGTCTCAACGCAAGGTATTAAATACACCCTTGTTGGTCATTTTCTCACAAATCTCATTTGATATTTGAAGTCGGATAATCGATTTTCACTTAAGTTTGAACCAACATTCATATAATCCAATACTTGATAATCCAACATTTATCAGTTCTCTTTCACTGATATTAGGATTTACAAGAAAAAAGAATAGGAGCAATCAACTTTAAAACTGTAAACATATTCGACGTATTATTTTACATTGCATAAGTAAAATTCTGAAATTTCTTTTAACAAGTGAAATACAAAGAAATTATGACAAAACAAAATGATTAAAAGAAAAAGAAAAAAATTAAGAGTAGAACGGAAAAGAAATATGATATAATGAGCCAACACGAATTTTGCGCCTTGCTCTATAAATCTGTAAAGTACGGTTTTATACGGTCACCCCGAATCGATGAAGACGTGAAGAGGGACAATCCCAAATCATTAGCCCTGTAATTGCTTGGTTTCGCCGAGCCCTCATCCTTTTCCTCCAGCCGTAATTACCTAGACCTCAGGTAATTAAACACTATTAACTCTGCAAATATCAAAATCAATAAAACCCGATGGAAAGTCCAAGAAAACATAACTCGCTTTGATTGGAAATCAATAAAAAGCCATTTGAACAAGCTAAAACATAATACTTGGAATCCCTAAGTACGCAACATTTTGATCTTTTAATTGGTATCATCTCGTTTGAACGCTATCGTAGCAGGTTCGATGGCTTTTGAGGGATTTTATTCCCGTCCTTAATTCTGCCTATGTTCGACTGTTGGGCCTGGGCTATTGCACATCCTTAACCTCAAAATTGGCAAATGTCTCGTTGGGGAAATGAAAACTCGGGCAGGGAAATGTAAATCATGTTAAGATAATTAATTCAATCTAGCCCTGCTGACACGCAGAGGTCAGGTTTACAAGTGGGGGCAATCTACAGCAGATGGGAGGAGAAATTGAATTGTCCAGTAGAGGGTATCCAATGTTCAAGCAGACACGCCATGATTATCTCCCCGTCTAATTCTCATCAAACCTGACTCCATGCATAGCACGTTGCGTCTAGAATGAGTGAAAGTAACTTTGTCTTTACTTCTAAATAAGTGGAATAAACCAGCCCTATAATTTAAATGAGATATCAAAGTGTCGAAGCAATGACAATATTTGAAAGCACATTTTCTAAGTGCGTATCTCTCTCAATCTCTCTGTATTATTTCAACTTACATTTGCATTTATTCCTATATACCGTGCAGCCTATCTCCAAATGATATCATAGATATATTCTATGATGATGTCACGTACGCACGAGGACAATTAAATACAATAATGGTGTATGTCTTTTTATTTGTTTAAGTGCTGATGTCAAGATCAGCTCATCCAGTTGCTGTTTGTATGCAGAATTAATTAAATGTTGTTTTTTTCTCATTCAGAGGTTTATATTTGGAAAAAAATTAGTTTACTATATTTAAAACATTTGTAAAGAAGATTTATTAAGAAAAGAGAAACATGGAAAAATGGTTCCTTAAAACGGCATATTTTTCGTGTTAATGCTTGCTGATAAGGACAAAATCTACCTGTCATTATGTTTTTTTTTAAACTGATAATACATGTAAATGCTTTAAATTTTCATTTCAATTTCTAAATTCTGTTTTTACTTTTAGAATTGTATCAATTGATTTCAAATGCGGTTGCCGCACCATATTCTACTGTCCTAACGGTTTTTTTAGAAAGCGAAATACCTTTCCAGAATTTGCACTGATTTCTCCTGTATAGCAATTTACCCTGCTAAATCATACTACGATCATTGTCTGCTCGGCCCTAAATTTATATCGATGATTAAAAACGTTTTCCCATTAGAAAAGAGTGATTTTACATTTGTTTGTTTTCCCCTGCTATCACTGTTCGCTTCCATCATACTCACCACGAGGGAAAACACCACAATATTTTCAAATTGCATGATGATTTTAGCCATAAGACCACAAATGCACTCGTTTAATTGGCACGGGATGAAGGATCGAATTACACCAATAATTGTTAGCGAAATGTCAAATCCTGAGCGATGATCAATTATTCCATTTCTATCAACAATATAGCCGTCTAGTTAGAAAAAAAAAACACTGTACAATGCCCAAAGGAAGAATGACACGTAAACAATAATGACATCTATTTTTATTGTCTCAATTAATTTGAAGTGCTTTATAAACGGGATAGCACAACCACGAGAACAGCTAATGCAATTACAAGCTTTACCGTGTACATGTAACCTGCATTCTAGTCATGTGATAAAATGACCTATTTTTACTGCCGTATGTATGTCATACTGAGCGTGGTCAGTTATGTCCCTGCCAGTTATTGCCGCAGTCGTCACTGCATTTAGTGCACTGGTGCTGTATTTATGGTCTCGGAGGAAGTCTTCAACTGACCCTCCTATTCTCAAAGGTTGGGTTCCTTGGCTTGGCTGTGCTGTTGAATTCGGAAAGGCACCGTTGTGGTTCATCCAAAAAGCGAAGTGCAAGGTACAATATTCAATAATCAATACATGTACCGGTATATGAACATTTTGGTCTATTCGTACTATGCACGAGGATGCCGAAATACGAAATGGTTTGACCTATGTTAATTTTCTCTCTCTCAGTGATTCCCACCTATTATTTTTCTTTAAATAATATATGTGTATTAAAATATTACAGCTAGGTCCATTGTTCACAATATATGTGACAGGAAAGAGACTGACATTTGTAACAGAGCAAGAAGATTTCAAGCACTTTTTCCAGTCCCCAAATGTTGATTTCCAGCAGGCAGTTCAACAACCAGTCAAAAATACAGGTACACATATATCAGTATTTAACATGTTTAGTGTTAAAAGTCCAAGTATGTATATACTTCAATATTAAAATGATCTCATCATCTGCTTGAACTTTAAAAGAGAGGTTAATTCTGGTCACTCTGGGGACATACTGAGGTTTAAGTTGCATGTATGACTACAGATATATTTATTATTTTGCAGACTGTCATGATCAGTTATTTGCACACTCTATTGGTTGACTGTATAAATGACTTTTTGCATCTGTATTTGTTTCTTTTATTTCTCAGCATCCGTCAAGGAGGAATCCTTCTTCCAATATCACACTAAAATTCATGATACTGTGAAGGGGCGACTGGCACCCTCTAAACTTGGTCTTATCTCCCAGCAACTTTCCAAGGGATTCTTAGAACAACTGAATAAGTCAGAGAGATCAGGTGCTCTATGGAAATGTGAATTATATAACTTTCTGTTACATTTATGTGGATAAGTTGTACTAAGTATATTTTACAAATCGCCTTGCTCATGAAAATAAAGTGTTCAGAGCAGTTTGAATTTTTAGACAATTTTCTTAAAATATGCTACTTTAGTAAAATATATTTTAAATTAACCTTAGATCTATGTGTTTTAAGTCTGAGTGATTTTTATCAAATATGTTTGTTTAATAAACTGATGTGTTTTTATATTGTTACTTGGTTTGTGGTTTTGAGGTACTGTATTTCATAACTAATATGTTAACACATGGTAGCCATATTTTACTAGTGCTGTTTACTTTTACATATGTATTATTTTAGGTCAATCCATAGATTTGAATGATTTCATTAGAAATGTAATGTATGCAGCTGTCCTTAACCATTTATTTGGGAAAGGTGTGATGCCAACAGACACAAAGGTAACTTGTACATGTTTACCATGCCCATAGCCAGGATGGGTTTAGAAATTTGCCCATCAGACATCTGCCTGAACTTAAAGGGATAATAACTCTTCGTTTTGGCCAAAAAATGAATTTTCCTGGAGTAAACAACAATTTTCCCATACTTACCAATGGTTAATGAATCCATTTTTACAGTCAAAGTTAGTCCCTGGTTTTTTTCTAAAAAGTTTGGTTTTTTGTTAAAATCTCTTAAGAGATTTTAACAGAGTATAGCCATCAATAGAGGTCACATGTTCTAAAGACAAGCTCAGATATCAGAATAATAGCTTTAACTGCCGTTTTTGTGGTAAAACAGAATATATTATATTTCTATGAGTTATTCACAATGTTTTTATTGTGAAATATAGATCTCATACGAAGAGTTATTATCCCTTTAAGATCGCTTTTAAGTTGAAATGAGTGTTTGGTCTTAAATTTCAAATCTAACAAACCTTGAAATGAAAGTTTACTTCATATTGAAAATTCAGACTGGAGCTAAATTGACAGTTTATATTTTTTTAGACCCCACTTTATGCAAACCCCATGAGTCTAAGTAGGCCTACATGTAGACAGACTGTAAATGTGTGAAGAACCTTACTGACATACGCTGTACTACTTCAGTAAAACCGTAGGCCTTTTTATATGTTTTTTTTCTCAGGAAGGCCTCAGGGAACTGACTGTGAATTTTGTGGAATATGATGATGAGTTTGAGTATGGCTCACAGCTCCCAGAGTTGTTCTTAAAGTAAGATGATATTAAAGCTTATTTATTAATCAAATTTGTTTATTTTTTGACATATTTTTACAAAAGAGTTTTTGATTTGTGATACCTTGTCAGTCTGTGTAGCTTTTTATGAAAATGTATTTCTTTGTCAAGATTAATATTTTAAAAAATTGTATGAGAAAAGAATTTTGGATCCCCAGCATATGAATCTAATCTACTTTTATTTAAACTAGGCAGTGGGCCAAGTCCAAGCACTGGTTGCTGAACCTGTTCAGAAACATAGTAAAGAAGTTAGATACGGAGCAGAGGTCATCAGGTGAAGATGAAACATTGTTGCAGACTCTTATTGCTTCTGTTGACCGACCCCATGCGCCAAATTACGGATTATTGCTTATGTGGGCCTCGCTGGCTAATGCTATTCCTGTAAGTAACTCTACGATTTTGTTTGTGTCATTACATAGACATGCAAGCCTGTTAAGTCTTTCATTTGTAACTGTTTAAAGTTGAGATTTACTTATTATATGCGTAACAGTTTATCTCACTCATTCTGTACCATCAGTTGTGACATCTGTGGTATATATCATCTTAAATAATTTAATATAATTCTGTTATCATATTGTTTTTAATTAAAATTACAGAAATGTTTTATTTAGACAGAGGTTTCATTTCACTTTTGTGGTATATTAATATACCAGATATTAGAAATATGAGTTGAAAAGGAAAACAACATTCAATTCCCCTGATATATATTTGACTCATTTTTAAATAATCCATCATGTCACTTTATGGACATGTTTGTTGTAGTCATTGCATGAAACCAAAAGTTTTTGATTATATTGAAAATGAACAGTGATACATTGATACCCATTTAGTGCCAGCTATGAAATATTTGTCATGATGTGTGTTTTATTTTTTTAATTCAGATATCATTCTGGACTGTTGCTTTTATACTATCGGAGGAGGGTTGTTTAGAAAAGGCAAAGAAAGAGATTAAAGAAGCTTTGGGCAGTCCAGGTTCATGTAAGCAAATGAAATATTCTTTGTAAATTTATATATGCAAATGGTAATTATTTGGGCATTTTGTGTGATGTTTAAAACTCCAATAAACAGTGGAATAAGTTTGAGTGAAATTGGCTATTCACAATGATCTGTCATGAAAAAATTATTTTGCCTCTATACTTCTTTTGATATGTTATAATCAAATATAAAAGTAATAGATACAAATAATCTGATTTTTTATTGTGTAAATTTAAAAGCATTTTTCTTGATGGCTATTATACACTGATTTTGTAAAATATATAATTCAGTACCCTCAGATGCAGAAATACCTGAAGAGACATTACTTAAGATGCCCTATATCAAGCAGTGTATCATGGAGGCCATCAGGCTGCGCTCGCCAGGTGTCATTACCCGCAAAGTTGTCAAACCCATTCCTATACGAGTACGTAGGTATTCCATATTAGGTGCCATGTTGATTTTAGAATGTTTTCAAAAGTAGTTATAGCAATATCTCAACAATTTGAAAAAAAATTATTGAAATTTTAATCTGCAAATTCTGTATGGTGGGTCTAAGTTAAAGGGATTGCTGTTTTTGTAACTGAAATTATAGATCTTGAAATGATTAAATGTTTTAAATAACTGGTATTATTGAAAATAGATAAAACAGTTTTTCTCTCGTTAATATGTATGCAGATTGATGTGAAAAATAGAAAGAAGCTGATATATTTGCAGAATTACATCATCCCTGCTGGAGACCATATAATGCTGTCACCATACTGGGCTCATAGGAATACACAGTTTTTTCCAGACCCAGAGAGATTTTATCCAGTGAGTTTATGTATAAAAAATATCCTAAGCTGAACAATGAAAGCATTAGCAGTTGATTTTTTCCCTATTTTTAAACTTTGAAACTTGAAATATTTGTTGTAAGTCTTATTATAAGAAAGTTTTATATATATATATATATATATATATATATATATATATATATATATGTTTTTGTGATACTTTTAAGTTCTCCAGTTCATGTGCATGATTTATTAAAGCTGTATATTCAACTTGGTTGTTTTCATATTTACAATAACCAGGCATATAGGGTTATTTATGTTCTGGATAAAAAATATAAAAACTTTAAATAAATAAGAAGTATTTTACCAGGAACGCTGGGACAAAGCTGATTTAGAAAAGAATGTGTTTTTGGAAGGGTTTGTAGCATTTGGTGGAGGCAGATATCAATGTCCTGGGAGGTGAGTCCACACTCTGAAGGCAAATGAGAAAATGTTGAAAATGTTGAGAAAATAGCAAAAATGTTGTATTTTTATAGTCAGAAAGTTTTCATTTATGATAGATCTAGATATTTGATTTACCTGTTGACTGATTCATCTGTTCACTCTGACAGACATGAATACAACTGAATTACCTGTTCAGGTGAAGGTGAACAGGTAATTGCCTTAGTCTTGATGACAACAAGAAGTGTGGAATATAGTATATGAGATCAGCTGTGGGAGCTGTGACAGAGTATATGTCATAAATGAAAACTTTTTGACTATCAAGAGATCCAATGAAACTACTTTCACATTGTAATTTTATAGTTTGACTTGATGAATACATAAAGTGCAAAACAATTATATCCAACACAAAATCTTATTCTGCTTTCCAGTGTAATGAAATAATCAAGATCTTTTTTTTAAATATAAATATGTGGAAAGAGTAGCTTCCAGTAAATAAAGGCAATTAAGACTTTTTTGAGGAGGGGGTTTCCAGGATTTTGGGCAATTTTCTGTTTTCATCACTGTATTTATTATATCAGGAAGTGCGCTATCTGTGAAAAAGTGATATTTATGCTTATCTCTAAATATGTCTTTATTTTTTAGACAGGCATGAAATTATTCATTTGCATGTGTTACTTGTTTATGCCATCTACATTTATATATACATTAGATCTGTGTTTACTAAACTTTTATTTGCTTTTCAGGTGGTTTGCTTTAATGGAAATCCATATCTTTATTGCTCTGTTATTACACAAGTTTGACATGAAACTCGTCAGCAATGTACCAAACCTGGTATGTAGTATGTCGCGTTTAGTTTGATGAACCCAAATGAAAAAATTAAGTTTAAACAGAAGAAGTGTTATGAAGACATAAAAAAGACATTCTTGTCTAAGATATCTGTTTTACACCTGACCTGGCTTGACTGTGCATATTTTACATATATACATAGGTGAAAGTTTTCAGGATTATGCCTGATTTTAGGATTTCAGTCTTTTTTTTTTACATATGGTTTTAATGTGATGAGAAACTGTGTGCTATGCTTTCAGGGTTTTCATTTTTTGAAAACTTTCACCCATGTATATAGTAGATTCTTATTTGTTAATGAAAAGTAGAACCTCAGAATGATAAAACAAAGAAGGGAATTTGGGACATATCAAAAGTACACTCATACGAGTAACTTTTATTATTAAACCATAAATTAAAATTAAGATTTTGGAATAAGTCAGCTATTTGAAATTTATACAGAAGTACAATAATGCACTTTATTTTTTTGTATTGTTCCACCGTTATCCAGCTACTTTTTATAATTTTTTTAGCTGGTCTTTTGTTTAACAATTAATACAGTTACAAAACAGGAGTATTGATGGGAAACATTCTTTTTTTTTTCAGAGTCCTCTTCATCTTGTTGGTACTCAGCAACCTGTAGGGAAATGCCTTGTAGATTACAAGATGTATTAGTGCTAAAATTTTTGGTGTCAGCTACCAATATATATTTTTTTGTTAATGACACTAATGATTAATTTTAGACTATGATTATTGTTTGTGATAGTTGACTTGACTTTTAAATAAGAATTTTTTAAATAAGAATTGGTCTGTGATGTTGTTTGTGATGTGCCACCATGCTCAAAACACAGGCACAAGGTATTTTATATATATATATATATATATATATATATATATATATATATATATATATATATATTCAAAGGAGATAAATGTTGTTTTAAGCGGTGACGAAACAAGGATTTGAAAAATTGTCAATGGGCATATGGGGCAAAGTCTCCACATTGAACATTAAAAACGAGATATGCAGTATCACCACAAAAAAATTAAGCACCAAACAAATGATAAATGGACAAATGAGAAAAAGACGAAGAAGCTTGGTATAGATGATATTAAGGATCAGCCATTGATATTAAGTCGGGCATACATTTGGGGTAAAAATTTTCTAAATAACGTTTATTTCTGAAGAACGAAAAGGAGGCAATTCGCAATATACGCTCTTCTCGTGAAAACGCGGTGAAAGATAGGCGGTACTTGGTGATTTAGACTTGATTATTGCATATTCGGCTGTTAAATGTTAGTTTTGACGTATTTAAACGTGCGTACTCGTTAAGAAAGAGGAAAATTAACGTCAAAATAGGAGCACACTAACTGACGAAGGAGCGTAAAAACTGTCGATCGGACCAACCTGACCGAAACCCCGTGTACCCGGTGTCTAATATAGATAGGATATAATTGCCATTGATTTTTAAGGAAAATGTATCGATAATGTGTCTAAATAGCGTTTTATCATGCGATAATTACTGTCTACATTGCGAAGAGCATTCAAATCAAAGTTTATGATATAATACTCGTGTAACATGGGCTTCTTAGAATGAAATCCTTGTCCTTGTTGATGTTGCATTATGCAAAATGTTCAAATATTTACAGGTATCATTTATACCGTCCTGGTGAAATTTTTTTGATTGTCTTATAAATTTTTTGTCATATCTTATGCTTTGTGTTTGATATTATTTGTTGCACTGAATATGTTTTTAGCTTTAAAAAATAAAACTGCATCCGTCACAACGAATGTATATGCTAGTACATGTACTATACACTGCAAGATTGTTCATCGATGTGGCTAATCTTTCTAAGAAACGCCAAAATACATACGGTACATGTTGTGGTTTGAAACATTAAATGATGATATTGAATCATTTTCATGTTTTAAGTACTGGTATTACATAGTAGGGTTTCTATTTCACTTTGGGTTCTGTTTCACTCAACATTTCTGCACTCTTAATGTTCCGTCTGAATGTTTCGTCCTTTTTGTTTAGGTTCCTTGACTGGTGGCAATTGGATTTTTGGATCCTTTGCGTCCAGGTTTCGAGAAGGGACAACCGCTGTTTTGCTTCGGTGTTGATATTCTCTTAGTTGCCACAATTTCTTCTCTTCTAACTCTTCTCTGGATTTTTTGTAAGACTCCGCTGACTTTTGTTGTCCTGTTTTCATTATAAGTCGCTGCGACTTCATACTTTTCACATTTGGCACGGTTTGGTCGGTCCATGACTGAGACAACTGCTGTTTGGTTGCTTTGTGCAAGGGCGGGATACTCTCCAATGGAAACTTGACATTACCATCTATGGGCAGTTTATCCAGGTCACCAGTTGATGTAGAACGCAGAAACGGTAGCTTTGTTCTGCCGGGCTCGTTAATGCTCAAGAAATGGCGTGGCTCTTCTCCAGACGACACCAATTGTGGGGATTTAGTGTAATGATGCCACTGACTGAGCGGTTTGCTCTCTGTACGTATGTCCAATGCAGATGGAGTCTTGTATAAGACTTCCCTGGCATCTGCTCTCTTCAGCAATAGTTTCCCACAGCTAGGATTTTGCATGTGCTGCGTTGGGGAAACATTCAGTAGATTACCGGTGCTTTTGGACCGAGATATACCAGTCTGCCTATCTTCGTTGGTTTGGTCGCATGTCTGAATTTTTATGACAGGACAGTTTTTTACGCCAGAGTCTTCAACTTTGTCGTCATTTTGCTCCTTACTTCCACTATGTGATTTGTTTCGTTGTTCTCCGCCAGCTTTTCTTGGTAGCTCACCATCTCGGGGTTTTGGAATGCTTAACTGTTTGCTTCTTTGGGAAACCCTTTCCAGTTTGTGATTGGCTTTCATTTCTTGTGTTTTTTTAATCGTACTTGTATTTAGGTCTTGTGTCTTTCGAGCTGCAGCAGTACTCGGAATAGCCATGGTATTATCCCGTGGCATTGTCGCGTTTTTCCACTATATTTTGCAATGTTACTGTGATCTTCATTAATATAGCAGACCGAAAAAGAAGAATTGCGTGACAGTCTTAATATCATAGCGCATTCTGACGTCTGCCAATGGAGCTCGTGCCTAAATTAGTTCTATTGATTGATATCATCGTCTAAGAATCTTCTGGATGGTCGTTAGAAGATTAACAATCAGACTCATACGTAACTAAAGCCATTTCATCATGTTGGCTATTAAATGTAGATATAAAGTTCCAGTGTATCCATAATAATACATTTTATGCTTTTGATATTTTTGGCTGTTTAACCTAGAATTTCAAAGCATATGGATATTTATCTACAACTTGGCGGCCATTATTGGACATATATCATTACAGTAGGTCTTTCCAATGCAGTATATCGGTAAATGACGGATCAAATAAGCTGCTGATACTCGGGGTGTCCCGCTGGGCTAAACTCATCAACAGGTGAACTTCATTCCAAATATATTAGTTATTTAACTTTTTATTCTATGTCAACACGTAATTTCATCATTTGTGCATAGTTTCTGAATGATTCTTGGTGTCTGAGGCCGATTTTGATCTGATAATATATCGAGGGATCGTTCAAAGAAGTAAAATGTTCCCCTGTGTATCACGCCTACTTTTAGTAGCTCATAAGACAGACTCACTTATTGGTAAGGTGAACTTTGATGGGTCCAAACAAAGAGATTCGGGTTTAAAGAACGCGTTAAGACAAAACAATGGTACTGTTTCGAATTTCGATATGATTGAATTTGATGTGACGCATTACCTTCTAATCCTTTAATATGCTAAAAAAATATAGGTCACATAAAACACAAAATATCTTTCGAATTTCTTACGTTTTAATTATAAAACACAACAATACATACACGAACTTCTGTCATGGGATTACTGCAGGAACAACAACATTTACACCAGACTTTTGTAATTAAAATTTGGATTAATCATCACATTTCGCTATAACTATCATTTATTACCAGCAGGTCAGGGATTTGTACCTCTGTCAAATATGAATTTTGGTTATTCGACAGAATTATTTGATGGTGACAAAATTTGGTTAAAATCGAACTCTTCTTACACAGAACGAAGACATGTAAAACACATTCAGGCACGTGTTCTAGTGTAACAGTAACATTGAACATTTATATTAGTTTTCGTGTCTAAGGTAGACCTATTTAAATAAAATAGCTCTAACTTTTCTTTGTAAACATAACACCTATCACATGTAAACATTGATTTTCATAACAGACGTTTTCAGCACAAGTCGAGGCACTTGAATGCCTATGCTTAGCAGGTACCTGATAATCTACAGTGTACACCTTATACAAACATGTTGTAAGTCCTATAAGGCTTATATACAACTTATGTTCAGCCAAATGCCTGAAACGCAATTGATTGGCGGAGAATGTCATTTTCTTTTTATCTAATACAATTATACTGAACAAAAATATAAACGCACGAAAGAATATGTAGATTTATTTTCATATATGGAACTAGAGTATACAGCCAAAAATAACAGCATATTTTTCTCGACAAATAGACATCACTCTGAGAGCATTAGGGGAAGTTTAAATGCATAGTCCAAGAGTTAGGGCATCAAATACACCATGGGGGTCAACATCCTGAGTTCACAGACACCATTAAATGTGTGCAGAGCAGTACACCAGCGGCGCATGGACATCACTAAGTTGTCAATAGAGGCCTAAGGGATATTATCCCATTCCTCCTGGAGTGCTACTCGCAGTTGGCGAACATCCTCGAGAGCTGGAACATGATGGCTGGAAACTCTGATCCAGAACATTCCACAGGTGTTTGTTGGGCGACATGGTGCATGAGGGTGGTTCCTAATGCTACCAGTGTCTCTGAAGCGTGTTCCCAGACGGCTGACAGTGGAATGATCCACATTCAGGCATGCTGCAACTTCTGATACTGACAAGTCAACATTGAGCATGCTGATGGCATGCTCCCTCATGGTTCCAGACATCTGTGGCATGTTGACAAGTGGCAGAAATACACATTTTGGTGTGTCCTTTTATTGCCTAGACGGTAGAGAGTGTCTGTGTATTGGTCTTGCAGATTGACCTCTACTCCGTCATGCCCCATTAGTCTTATGGGTGTAAAAACTGAACCTTTGAGTATACTCACGGGGAGCGGCCAAGTGAAACCAGACCACTATAATTGATCAAAACAAATCCATCAGTTCACAAATAAACCATCAACCTGGGCATATTTCATGATTATCCATTTCAACTGACCATTTTAGTTTCGTGCGTTTATATTTTTGTTCAGTATAGTATTTTACCTGCTTTCAAGAAACAACACTACTAACGTAAACTATGTCGTTAAGCAAAAACTTGCTTTTCGTGACATGGATAGTATATACATTTGATAAAATTCTTTATTATTAAAGAACTATGGATAGGAACCAATCTGCAATATTTAACATACAGGAACAACATTTCTATCACTCCACACTCACTCCTTTCAAACTGGTCGTTAAAACTTTGGCAAATTCCTAAAACTAGCCTCATTCTGGTCATCCGGAATTTATTGCTGTCAGATGGAGTAACTGCCGTTAGTTCCGAGAAGGAGGCATCTAACTAGCGGTCTTACAGTTTGAGCACTTGTGCACTTTGTCGGCCCTCTGGTACTCCTTAAATTGTAAGTTACTGTGCAGAGAAAAAAAAGGGCGATCTTTGGTTTTCGACATTTTGGACTCCACTGGTTTCCTATTGATTCTCGTCTTTGAAAAGGAAATTGTTTAGACATACACAACCAACACGTCATTTGAAAAGAAAGACAATAATCTGCAAAGCATTATGTATAATACCGAAGTTTTAATAGGGAAAATTTGAGTCTTTTTGAGGAAGAATTCTTTTTTGTCCATTGGTGTGATTACAAGTAGTGAGTCGCTGGCGCAGAACATATGGCTTCTTTTTCACTTACTGGAGGCTTTTCTTTTGCCTCGATCATTGCAAGCAAACGCTGTAATAGAGTATTGTAAATATTTAAAAAAAAATACATATCGAAAAAGGTTATCAACCCACGATACAATATGTAATGTTTACTAAAACAGATTGTAATAAAACCCCTTTGAACAAATTATTTAAAAAACGTAAACCTAATGAAATTTCGCGTGTTAAATCAACACAAAAATATTATGAAATTTTACCATCAATGAAGAATAATTCATATATACCTGTTTCAGCCCTCCTTTAGACGTAAGCAGCAGGTATACGACGTAGGTTGGTATCGGGATCAGAGACGATAACGTGATCATCCAGCCTATAGCAATAGCCCAGCCAGGGAAAGGTTCGTCGTGGGTGTATACAGGCGGTTTGTACCCCACGATGGAAAGAATGAAGAGGGTCTGGAAAAGACGGGATCTATTCTGAATTACAGTGACCGATTGACCATTGCTTGAAATTGATTTCGGAAGCAAGCATTTGCACAATGTTATCTTTGGCGTTGTCCGTAATATCGATCCTCTAAGCCCGTGCTGGCAAGCCCCGTAGCCAAAGGTTTTTGAAAAAAAAAAAAAAAACAAAAAGACGAAGAAGCCCTGTAAAACCTTGTAAAGGGTGTCCTAGTCACTTTCCTGGGACCAGCCTTATTCGTTAATTACTGCTAGTTAAAAATCGAGGAGCATGACCTATCTGCCTCAACTTGGCTACGATACTGCCACAGATGGTATATGTGCAAAGCATCAGTTGTCAGGTCGGTAGCTGACTAACAAGCAAGAATAGCATTTCTGGTTATATACTAGATTTGTTGTCATAGACTGGGTTCCCATACTTAGATCGATCCGTCTGGATCGACCTAACTCCCTGGGGCTCCACGCTAAATTGCTATCAGCTCTAGAGGTCTAAATGTCTGTCACGCCTACCGAATCAGCTAGGGGTAAGATAATTACCACCTAACAGTTTTACTAGACGTGACAGACGTTTAAGCCGGTTAGTTTGATAGTTTAAGCCGGTTAGTTTGATAGCAATTTAGTGAGACTCCCCAGGGAAATAGATCGATCCAAATATCTGTGGCAATGGTCCCATAATCGCCACAAAAATACATATATGACTAATAGCCACACCTACCAGCAGGAATACGGGACTGATAGCCACCCAGCAAATTTTCCAATATATACCAGGTTGAAATCCCAGCATCGTTTCTATATCACCACTGAAACGATTCACCCCTGAAATACAAGATAGAAGGACTTATTGAAAGTCGCCTTTCAATCAATTTTTGGGCGTAGCAACTCTTATATAATCTTTTGTTTCTCTATATCATATGAAGGTTAGACAGATATCTATGTATGAATCTTTCTGATGATGTTACATAGGTACTTGTAAATTAACAATTCGACTTTATATAATAATCCCATTGACTTAATAATGAAACGACCGAGCCCGTTTCAACTTTGCATGTTTTGATACCGTACGTAGCACTTACCGTAAAACCAGTTCACCGCAATAGCTTCAATGAAAACGATGAAGAGAATTGAGATGGGGACACCATGTGAGTCTAGTAATACGAACACGTTATATCCGCCCTAGCCGAAAGCAGCGGTGAAAAAGATAAAAAAAAGGTCTATCGTCAAAACAAATAGTATAATCGGTACGGTTGCCTTGCTTCAGATGTGAAGAAACCGTGCGTGTTTTTAATATTCTCTTACACACATGAGTGTCAGAAGAAAATGAAAGTATAGGGTACACCAGGCAGAGAGGGAATTATACGGGACACATGCTGTGCAAGCCACCACAAATATTTATTTTTCATACTTTCACCACAAACGACAGAAATTAAAGTAGAATTATGAAATTGTGAACATATGAGACCTTTCGGCTTGAGAGGTTTGATTTTGTTTCCTTTATCCAATCAAAAGGGGACAAGTTGGACACGATGAACCGAGCGAATAATAGGGCCTATGTATCAACTTTGTGTTAAACTTTACACATAAAATGGAAAAATACATTTATTTGATTGAATCAATATAAATCAAAGTCTGGATAAAGGTACCATAAAAATTAAAATAGAAGTACGACTCCTTTTCACGTTTACTGACCAGTTCAACTTTCCTGCGCCTAGATTCCATTTGAATGTCTCTTCTGCTGTGAAAACTCTGGTCCATTGGCTAACATTGGTAAATAACTAAATACCGTTTATTAATTAGGTCAAATAAAAAAAGCTATTTTATATCATACGAACACATTTTCCTATATTTATACACAAGTGCACTGGTTTAATACTTTGACAAATACAAAGTTAATTAAAACATTACTAGTTTCTAGATAATACTTGCTTAGCAAGATAATAATTATAATCTAAAGGAAAATAAATACACGAAGATAATGACAATACTTAACCTTTGTCTATACGTATATTAAATACATCTATACATCTTTTTACATAACGTTAAACTAATGTATCACTAACACCAGGATATTTAGTTGAACGTTTTTACGCCAAAAGGTAACCTTCGTCTTCAAGAACATCTTTACTTTCTGTAGGCTTATAATACGATCTTTAGAGACCCCTACCGCCATTTTTTCTATAATTTTACAAAGACATGTGCGGTAAAGGACCGATATCGAACACGGACTGCATTGCAATATCTTAACGATTGCCTTTACACCCTGGCCAGGCCTCTGCAGCTAAGGGATGTATAGTAACACATTTTACACTTTTTTCGTACTCTATATTAACAATCACTACTTTGTATATATAGTGGAATGCTTATTACATATTAAATGAAACTGAAATACACAACATTCCAAGCGTTGACTACGTGATTTTTTTAATTAATCAAAGCACTTCTTAAGTTATGCACCAGGCATACTTGTACTACAAGCGGTTCGGAATATTGTGTAATTCTTCCTTTTCTGTCCTTTATAAGCTACAGCAGAACACATTCATCTTTATTGTCGAAGTCATTTAAATGAAATGCGTGGTGGGCATAACGTACTGTACGCCGTTCGTTTCATCAACTGCTGGTCTTTCTTCTGGCGCCACCATCAACAGCAGACGCTGAAAATAAATATAAAGTTTGCATGTTTCACAGCAGCACATTTACAGATTGTGTCATCTCACCAAACACATTTATTAGACATCTAAATAATCCATCGAGTTAAAAAATTTATTATAACATAATAAGAAAAAACATATAATATATTTATCAAACGCCAAATATTTATTCAAATTGAATTGAAAAAAATCTCAAACTTGTAAATTTCCTCTGATGCATCCATTCATTCATTCATTAGTGTTTGGAATTTAACATACCTCTTTAAAATTTCCTTTGGTAATAATAAACTTATATATAATATATATCGGAATTGGGATTAAAGAGGTCGATGTGATCGCCCAGCCTATAGACACTACCCAGTCTTGGAAAGGTTCACCAGTAGTATAATTTGGCGGCTTGTACCATACAACCGAGAGAATAAACAAAGTCTGCAAAGAAACATATAAACCATAATCATATCTGACTTGTTAATGCGGTATTTTGCCCCTGCTAGTAACTTCTATTGTTATCGTTAATTCTACTGCACCATTTATTACTTGTATGATGGATTTAGAATTACCAGAACAAGTTCCACATGTGTTTCATGGAAAATGTCATAATATACAAATATAAAAGTATGGTGTTATTACCAGTAGAAATATAGGACTTATGATCGCCCAGCAAATCTTCCAGAAGATCCCGGGCTGAAATCCTAACATGGTTCGTATATCCTGGCCAAACCGGTTCACACCTAAAGTATACACTGGATCGTGATTTTTTAATTCTAATACATTCAACAGATTATTTTCAACTGATCATAGACCGTGTGTTGCACAACGACAAATATCTATTTTTATAGACAAACCATATTTTACATTTTGATAAAAAAAAATAAGCACTCTGCGAGTGTATACTAAACTGCAGTTTCAGCATTTTTTAAAAACAGTATTGTTTTTCATGCTGTTTAAGCATATAAAATGTAACAAGATTTAAACTTACCATAGGCACGAGCAGCAGTATTTCAAGCGTTTAAGGAAATGGCGGATAATACGGAGGGCGATGCCCCATGCTTATAAAGCAAAGGAAACTGCGAAGTGCCCAGCTTTAAGCTGGAGAAGCAGAGGAAGTAAAAAAAAAAAATAAGCGTTTCATTACAACATTAGATCCCACATATCACCAAAGCGATTACTCGAAACCTCAAGGGTAGCGCAACTCTTACAGTCAGAGTTGAAAAAGCGAGCGATATAATTCTATCTACTAGAAATCGGTTAAGGAGTTAAAACCAGGAAATATGTGTGCGGCAACTATTTTAAAAATGCACAGGCCATGATGCGAAAGCAAGCGTTTTAATGCAAGAGCTCGGCTGTCTTGAGTTACGTGCGGCATGTTTTTGCGTCGTTTATGAAAAGTATTAATCCCGTGAAAACACTCAATCCAAAAGACATTCAAGCCAGGAAAACATTGTAAAACCAATGTAATAACCCACTCCAAAAACTAAGTAGCTACACATTGAAAACCATGCCAAGGAATGAAGAATGGTAGAAAATGCATGTGGAAAAGAGGAAAGGAAACGACTGGTTTTAATATTAAAAGTTCATGGGAAAATAGCGCGTGTCAATCATGCCAAAACCTGCCTGGAGCCGTTCACTTACCATAGCACCAGTTAACAGCTATACATTCTAAGAATACGATTAACAGAATGGAGATTGGAGCACCGTGTGTGTCCAACAGAAGAACCAATGAATATCCTCCCTGGCGAACAGGTGAAAATAGAAATTAACTGAATGAATGAAATTAAAACACGGATCCACAGAAAAATAAGACCAACGTTTTTCAACATGAATTTTGTTTCCAAAAATTATTATACAGAAAAACAAAAACAAACAAACAAATAAAAATAATTATAAGAAGAAGTAAACTAAGGTAACAACAACATGCAATTATCATGACCAAAGATTGGGTTTGAACAAATAACAAACATTGCAAGATCGATAAAGAAGGCGAACTGATCATTATCATTACCATCTTTACAAGTATTAATAGAATCATGTTTCGCTGAAAACCCATCGGCATTTAGGTTTGGCTCATTGATGGCATTTTCAAGAAGAAAATATTTAACTCTAATAACCTTTACATTTAATGATCTATTCTTACCCCTTCAGGTGTCGTGATAATACAGAATATACAACTGGCATCACTCACCTCTGTGGTCGTTGAGAGAGCGCCAAGGAAGCAGTAGACCATCAGTCCAGCCACGAACAACTCTCGTCTTTTACCCACAGTCTGCGGGAACTCGTCACATATCCCTGTGATCAGTGCTTCAAGCCCTCCAAACTGCAAAATGAGTGTGGATATGATATTTTATTAATCATATTTGATGTTTCAAAGAAAAATATATTGACGCTTCATAATAACGGCATCGGACACCAATTTCTTTGCAATGGTGTAAACTGGGTTTCACCATATTATAAGATTCCCAATCGGTCTTTCGATCAAGTTATTTTTCTGAGAGTCCCTCAAGTTCTGTGTAATTCCTAGAATAAAGAGAACAAAACAGGCAATACATTAACATGCAAAACCCAGCACTGTATAAAATGGTCATGAATAAAGAATATGGAGACAAAACTTACTGTGCTGTCCAGTCCCAAAGTGATTAACATAAGAAAGAAGATGATTGCCCAGAACACGGAACCCGGCAGTGCCGCTATGGCCTCTGGGTACACGACGAAGACTAGACCAGGTCCTGCGAACAAGAAACGAGTTATTGATATGACATGTGTCATACAATCGCAGCAATGACAATGACAATTTTCATTGTGTAAGCAAGACTTGCATGCCATGGGCATACATTGAAATACAACTGCGAGACAGTCCCGTTTCCTTCTTGTTCTTACTGGCAATATGGACGAAAACAACTAATCGCTGATGGCTTTTCGACATTTTCAAAAAGAAATTGCGTAACCTGACTTGAGGAAGATACTAAATGAAAAAATTAAATACTCAAAAAGGCCACAAAAGAATAAATGGAAGTTCGCAAGAGAAATCTAATTGTTTTAAGGTAATCATGATGCCAACACACATATTTTTCATTTCAGCTGATATAATATATATCGCTATGACACTGAACCCTATAGCAGGGTACCACCCACCATCTTGTGCGACAGTTTTGATGTCCTTGCCCTCCATGAAGGCCATGTGCCCCAGCACTGAGAACACCACGAATCCTGCCAGAAAACTGGTGGCACAATTGATGGAACTTGTCAGCAACGCGTCACTGGAAGCGTAAAATACAGGGCAAATAGTTCTGGTGCACAGAAGTACTAGCTTACACAATACTGTAGGAGTTATTTTTGCTCCGGCGCTTTGTGTATGCAAGTCTAGAGAAGTCAGAATGTATCTAAGTTGATTAATTTATTCGTAAAATGTTCAGCAGGGGTGTTATGTTAGTATGAAGGGGAACTCTCGCATGAAGAATGCAGTTCAGATGTACTTTTCACAAACCTGTAGCAGTTATTATGAAATTTGTTGTAACTTGAAAGTGCCAGCAAGACACCAAAGCCGGGTCCCAGGGAAAAGAAGATCTGTGCCGCAGCATCTATCCAAACCTGAAGATTGAAAAGTACAAATTGCCTTAATACATGGAAAATATATGAAGAAAAAAAGCAAAATTGTTTTCTCTCTGTTCCTCATATTAGTGGGTATTGCAAGATTTCTGTGAACGTCTTACCTGTGTAACAAGTAGCCGGTCCCATTCCGGTCTGAGATAAAAGAGAATACCACTCAATGATCCTTCCAAAGTAACGCCGCGGATAAGCAGGATGAACAGTACTATGTACGGCATAGTAGCGGTAAACCACACAGCCTTATGAAGAAAGAAGAAGTTACATTAAAGGAATGCAAATATTTTAAAATCACTATTTGTTCATGTGTGTGTGTGTGTGTGTGTGTGTGTGTGTGCGGGCACGCGCGCGCGCTCGTGTGTCATTTCGAAAAGGCCACATAATTTGTATATTTTCTTTTCTGTTTTAACTACGTTTCCAGTCATGAAGCCTTGAATACATTACGAAGTATTCAACTTAATGCGTACATAAAGTTTTTAAATTAAAATATGTCAAAATGCATTCAGTGTCTAGTTCATAAAGCGTTTAAACAAACATACACACGTTTTAACAAACACACAAACACCTATAAAATTGTCAAATCGTAAATTTGATATGATTGTTAACATATTATTTTTCAAATGAAATAAATAGGCCTTCTTTATTTTTTAAATGAAATATATACTTTGACTTTCCTTAAGCCCTATTCTCACCTTGCCAGATGTTTTGACTCCTTTCCAGAGTGCAAAATACACTAAAACAAAGACGGCCATGAGACATAGCGCAATCTGCCATTTGACTGGACCAATGTTACCGATGTCGTCCACATGACCTTCACCTTGTAGCTCAAGAACTCCACGACTAGAATGATCACAAACAAAATATCATATGTTACATTTAACATAGTTGGTCTGCTAAGAATGTATGTGTTGGTTACCAAATACACTTCGTGTCGATTTTTGGATCGTCATTAAATAAAGATATATACTTGTCCACTCACAAACTAGCAATCAAATTATCAATTAGAGACTGGTAATGCACCATTTGTATTAATTATATTACATTGTACAAGGTCATGATTATTTATGTACCAGAACAGAAATAAATTGATTAGAATTGAATATATTAAAATGACGGTGAACAACTTTGAGACTTCTTCAATTGCAAATGCTGTATATAATAAAAGAAATGATGCAAGTTGCCAATCGGAATACACATGGGATTAAACGAGATTTTACAATACAACCAACATTTCCAATAATACTCACAATATTAAAAGATTGCCGATTTTGTATCTAAATTGGCTAGCAACGGGTTATCAACCGAAAAACGATTGCTTCCTGTTTATTTATCTTTTAAAACATCTGGAACAGTGCTAGTGGAACAGTGTGTAACAGGATATCACATGAAACGTTGCGACTTTTTGTAGATTGGTGTGTCTGTATTTACCGGAAATATTCTACGAAACCAGCAATCTAGATTTTTTTATATCAAAACAGATATACTTATGTAACTTACTAAAAGAATTCGTGAGAAGCAAGCTTGGAATAGTTATTTTTGGCCAACGTTTTGTTTAGCGACCTGTCTCGGAATGTTGTACAGTTGTCCGTGTTCCAAGGGTTTCCGCAGGTGGCCCACGGCACTTCACTCGCCATGGAAGAGAAGAGGTAATAGAACGCCCAGGCGATGATGGTGTTGTAGTAGAATGAGACCCAGGTGGCAATGAAAATGATGCCAAACCCGATGCCTGCAAAGGTTACAAATGCAATGACAATATTTCAACATAAGGCATAAATATTGAGGTACATGTTAGAACTGAATATTAAATTGGCAAGTTTTTTTTATCAAATAATTCATTTTTAATGTTCTCCTTGTTCAAAAACTACTAACTACGTAAGGATTAGTAATTGTAACAACAACTATCGAATTTTCTTGGATAATTTTATTTTAAATCACAAAGCAGCAACTATCATTTTTAATTTGGACAGCCTAAATCTAAATTCTGGCTTAATGATAAAGATAAACATTTTCAATAAATTAGAAACAGGTTGATGTTGTTAAAGAATGATGAAACAAATTCATTTAGGTGATCTGTAATCGGCAGAGAATGAGATGACGTATTTGTCGGGGGCGTGATGATTGGATGGGTAAAACGACCCTTTAAAATGTAATTTGTGACTTCATTGTCGCTCTTACAACGAAGAGTAAAGATTACTGACAGGTCTGGATTGATTAATGATTATTTGTTGTATCATGGCTGCGATGATCAGGCAAATCAGTTATAGGTCTGACAAATTACCTCTGAATGGGAATTTGTGACTATTAACAGATTTGATGTTTTGGGCAATGTGCTGTCGATGTGAATTAGACTGCAGCTTACCAGTTCGACCGCTGAGTCTCAAAGTGTAAGAATAATAAAACGGTCCTATTATCCCCTTAAATTTCCTCTTTTGCAACTTTGATTGTATGGATTCTGGGACGCCAATAATGTTTTGATAAAAAGAAATTCATCACAGACAAAATTAATTCAAGATGGCACCTTCCAACTTTCTCCCCAGGGCTAGTACATGTAATATCAACATGAAAAAATCTCCGTGGTTATTTAATCAAGAGCGGGTGTTACGTGTATATATATATATATATATATATATATATATATATATATATATATATATATATAAAGGTAAAGACGAAACGCAATATTTCTTGAAAACACTGTCTGCAACTGAGTAAGTCTTTTTATTTTCAGCGAAGCCAATAATCTTCCTCGGACGGAGGAAATTAGATGTAGAAAAAATAAATAGGAGACCGTGTGCTGAGGATGACGCCGTGGCAAGTGTATGTTGTATCCTTGAATACGCAAACCAGATTTGCTCGATTTACCAGAGCCACCTTTTGTATCAATCTAATTAGGGCGAAAAAACATTACATACATCTACGTTTAGTTCAATTTCAAGAAAAGCGTGACTTACGAATAACGTTTTTTTTCTCTTGACTATATTTTTACCATATTTACACTTCAAAACACGGCTATTGCAACGTTGCATCTGGAATGGTCAGCTAAATATTAAAACCAGCAACCCAAGGTAGATGTGTAACAGATCCTAAATACCTAATTTGACGTCAAGGGCCTGTTATGTCGATCCAACGGTCCCAAGCCCGCCCTGAACCCTGATAAAAAGAATGCGTAGTGGTGGGACACTCTTGGGCTGGGGACGTGGTTTGTTTGAAAAAAGAGTTTGGAAACCGTTTTCCCTACAATTCTTCAGAAGTTCTTCTATTTCGACTCTTTAGGCTCATAACAGATAGAAACCCATCCTTATTTCTTGAACTTTAGGATAATTTATTTCGAGAAGATCTATTCTTCAAGGACGAAAAAATACTTCTAAAATTCAAAATATATGCTTAAGAACATGTCAACCCTTTTATGATATAAAATGGTGTTTGGAAGTTGTTGCTGCTGCTATGCGTTACAAACCAAGACGGCCACTGCATTGGATGCGTAACCATGGCTGTGTATAGTTACATCTGTATGCGTACTCTTATCTGGTTCTGCGTATTGCTGTTTTTAAACCAAAGTCGTATTAGGTATATTTACACTTAATAGTTAACGAATTTTCTTCTAACCCTGAAATTTGTGGTGGAATTATAAAAGAAGATATTCATAATTGAAACCAAATTACGTTTCAACTATTATTGGTTTTCGACTATGTAAGAAAAAATGCAGTTTTGTTTGATGCCCTAGAGAAAAAAAATAGATGCAAACACCAAACTTTTTTGCATGTATAATCCGAAATTACTCCTAAATCCTAACAGTTCGCTATCAGAACCAAATAATTTTAGTAATATAAAGAGAAAGAGCGCTCTGGGGCAAACCATGGCCATTCAGAGAGTGCATTAGGCCTAACAAAGTCAAATAATTTTTAACTAACGAAATTTCACCAAGTGTTTTATTGTATTGTAAGATGTTGTTTGATATAGCTATTTGGCGATAAACATACTGTAGTTTTACTTTTTCAAAATGTAGCAGAAATTCTGCTAAAACACATAGAGTTTAGCTGCACTTTTGGAGGTCTTTGAAACAAGGCATTACTCTCTTCCGACGCTGGATCGATGTATATGCTCAAGGAATCCTAATCTGCAATTATTTCCGTATACAGCCTTTAAGCTATTTTATGTGTCCCCGACAAGATGATCTTTTGTGTTCATGATTGTAGGTAATCAAGCTGAAAATCTAAGAATTAGCCACGCCAGAAAGTTTAAAGACTTATAAAGGTAAAGAAAATTCATGTCGTTGCCTTGTCAATTTCTTTATCCCGATGCTGGCAACAGGCGTGGTCTTGAAATGCATATTTCTTTTATTTATTTGTGCTTGTTCCGTTCTTTTATTTCACATTCCAAAATCAATCGATTATTCATAAGACAAGACGCTAACATTTGGCAAAGCTAGTCCCTTTGTCGACAGTAACTTGGAAATCGCGCTCAAGATATGGATCGGTTAACGACAAAATCATACGTCTACGGTTTTATCAGATGCCACGGAATCAGAGCCTACTGTGGGGGAAAGTTTAACGACTTTCGAATTGGTTTGGAATTATGATATTGATGTGATTCACCGTAGGCTTCATCATCTCTGGAATTACTCCACCGTAAATATACAGAACATCTCTATAAAGCAACGAGTGGGACAACAATCGCTAAAACTCCATTTGCAATGCCTGGTATTGCTCCCAATAAAAATGGATAGCAACAACGGGCACTGACCTTTAAAGATAGGGCGTTTTTTTTAACATTCAGGAAATCAACCTTTTTATATCAATTTGAAAGTTTTAAGGCTGTTAAAGCATCTAGTTCTTTGTCTTAAAACAATGGAATTATTTCTTAAATGATAGGTTAAAACACAATAAACAATATGAACGTTCAGCATTGAAGTTGGTATGCAGAACACCAACATCGAGTATGCAGGAAACAGGCAAACTGTCATTTAAACAAAAAATTTCATTTTCTTATGGAAGTGAAAAAAAACTCGCGTTTGCTAAAATATGATTAGAATCACAAGTTGAAAGCCAGATTCACCGCAGTCATGAGGGATTGTGAAATAATCGACATGTAAAAGGGAGGATTACACACAAGCCACATCCATATATCAAGTCACATTTGTATATACATTAGAAACTTGCTTGAGCCCCGCCTTAGTGTCCTCGCTTTCTTTGCCTTCATAATGAAACGCGTTGTTGAAATATACATGAATAACCACAGAACTATAAACATTTCTTTGTAATATATTGATTTCACAAAATTCTTTTCTCCCTAGTTGTTCTTTGCTTTCATCGTTCATCATCTTAATAATGTTCTCTGAAATAGGAACACAGAGCGGGTGGAGAGGACATAATTTGTTGAATTTTTTTCTGCTATCGAAAATCATTGTACGTGGTCTGTGGGAGCATCTTCTCTTCTAGGGGTATAAATATAAATTATTCTACTATTATCGTTGTTATTGCCATTTTGATACCAGAACATCAAGACTCCAGCTGAGCATGAAATCATCATAAACCCATCTTATCATAAAGGCAAAAACACTGATAAGAAATTTTGTTTGATATTAATTTTATTAGATTAACCACACGATAAAATTAATCATTTGGTTTTGATGTGGCTTCCTGTTCTTTCCCCGTTTTATTGAGAACGGTAATAGTTTTTACGTTACATAGCAAAAACAATGATATAAGGAATGTTGTTTATGTGCAAAGATTCCAAGAATTTGGCTTCTTGAGGTTGTGCTTTTGTCATATCTTTTTCCCGTATGTCTTTATACTCAAGAATAAGTCGCAGAAATGTTGGAACCAGTGAAATTTTTTAAATGACCGTCGGGAGTTTACCGTTTCACTGCTTTTCCTTAAATGCCGCAAAAAGCCTGAGAGTAAAAAACGAGACTTTCCATTAAGTACACGCCCAAATGTCATTACAAAATGACGGAAAACTGAACAAATCAGAGAGGTCGATTAGAGCACTTGATAAAACACTCACCTTGAAAGTACGGCATTCCATTTCTCAGAATTGTAGTTTAAATACCACCACAAAGTACATTTTTATGTTTGCCGGAGAAACAATAAGTATTTTTCTAATTCGTCGGAATTTGAAGTGATCTATCATTTATGCTATTAAATAGATAGCAAACTACGAATTTGACAACAGATAACAATAATAGAGGCGGCTCTGTACATGGAAAAATCAACCATACTGAGATCAGAAAATTTGACCTCACCTAACTTTCGCTTCCCTCAGCTTTGACCCGAAATTTCGGGAGCAATTTACCACCAGTAATGCTACTTTAAACACATACATATGGACATCTGTAGACCATTTGATTGTTGTCGACAAACCGATCTTTTAACCCCAGTTACTGCTATCAAACCTGATAAAAAGGATGAGTGATGCTCATACTTTTGTAGCTGTTTTATTATTAGATGTGAAAACAGGGATTTGGCATTTTTTTATGGCTTTAATGATAAAAAGTGAATGTAAAAAACGATCCTTGCCCTAACGACTTTCAGTCCACCCTCAGTTTAAGATAAAATAAACCATACACGATTGTTTCTTTAAAAACGCATGGGATGAACTTGACTGTATATTGCAAATTATTCATACAAAACACTTTTTTCGGAAGCAAGGTAATTGTAGTGTGTTAAAATATAACGCCTCCTCTGTTCTTGTTATCGTTATCTGTATTATTCTCATATGCCACTCTGATCAATTCACAAACCAGGATTGATTTACAAATCAGAGTGTCCTCACTGATCCTCAGACATCTTGATGACTTATTACTTGGACTATTATTCATTTGAATTCAAAATATAATGAGTTGGAAAGCCGCGTTGTCGAGAAATTGCTGACAAGAAAATCGATGATTACCTTTGAACATCGGACAAATTCTCTTCCACACCGTCAAACAGCCGCTTCGCTGATACTGCCCCAGGGCTAACTCCATGTAGAATAGTGGGAGACCCCCGAAGATCAACATCACGATATATGGGATAAGAAAGGCCCCTGGAAAGAAGAAGAAAAACAAGCGTAAAATCGGGCTGTCATATCGAACTTAAAATCTAAGAAAGGGTGAACTTATTTGGCCGTCGTCCCGTTAAAATTGAACACATGATGGCAGGGTATCGAATACAAAGTTATTTGCTGAGATGGAAAAGACTGGGGGAATGGTATGCAATTTCCATTTGATTCAACAGCCTTGAGGTGCTGACAAGAACGGATAATGAAAAAACTCACTGAGGATAGGGTATCCAATAATCAGTGAATGTTAAGGAAAAAACATGTTTGATCGCTTTTTAGAAAGTTTCCGTAATTCATTCAAGCTTTAAATAATTATTTTTACGCGCCTCGAACACGTTCATCTGTTCAACATGTGAAACAGTATAGCTTCATTCGTTCACATCAGCTATTTTTTCAAATTCTGGCCTGAAATTCTATGCTGAGATAATAAATCGTTCACGTGTATCTAACTAATTGACAATGTTTTTTTCTGCTTCACGAATGTGCCGTAAAACTAGCCCAACTTGTTCTACGCGGGGTTTAAAAATGTGAATTACTTTAACAACGGAGTTGACTACANATAATTTTTTAACTAACGAAATTTCACCAAGTGTTTTATTGCATTGTAAGATGTTGTTTAATATAGCTATTTGGCGATAAATATAGTTTTACTTTTTCAAAATGTAGCAAAAATTCTGCTAAAACACATAGAGTTTAGCTGCACTTTTGGATGTCTTTGAAACAAGGCATTACTCTCTTCCGACGCTGGATCGATGTATATGCTCAAGGAATCCTAATCTGCAATTATTTCCGTATACAGCCTTTAAGCTATTTTATGTGTCCCCGACAAGATGATCTTTTGTGTTCATGATTGTAGGTAATCAAGCTGAAAATCTAAGAATTAGCCACGCCAGAAAGTTTGAAGACTTATAAAGGTAAAGAAAATTCATGTCGTTGCCTTGTCAATTTCTTTAGCCCGATGCTGGCAACAGGCGTGGTCTTGAAATGTATATTTCTTTTATTTATTTGTGCTTGTTCCGTTCTTTTATTTCACATTCCCAAATCAATCGATTATTCATAAGACAAGACGCTAACATTTGGCAAAGCTAGTCCCTTTGTCGACAGTAACTTGGAAATCGCGCTCAAGATATGGATCGGTTAACGACAAAATCATACGTCTACGGTTTTATCAGATGCCACGGAATCAGAGCCTACTGTGGGGGAAAGTTTAACGACTTTCGAATTGGTTTGGAATTATGATATTGATGTGATTCACCGTAGGCTTCATCATCTCTGGAATTACTCCACCGTAAATATACAGAACATCTCTATAAAGCAACGAGTGGGACAACAATCGCTAAAGCTCCATTTGCAATGCCTGGTATTGCTCCCAATAAAAATGGATAGCAACAACGGGCACTGACCTTTAAAGATAGGGCGTTTTTTTTTTAACATTCAGGAAATCAACCTTTTTATATCAATTTGAAAGTTTTAAGGCTGTTAAAGCATCTAGTTCTTTGTCTTAAAACAATGGAATTATTTCTTAAATGATAGGTTAAAACACAATAAACAATATGAACGTTCAGCATTGAACTTGGTATGCAGAACACCAACATCGAGTATGCAGGAAACAGGCAAACTGTCATTTAAACAAAAAATTTCATTTTCTTATGGAAGTGAAAAAAACTCGCGTTTGGTAAAATATGATTAGAATCACAAGTTGAAAGCCAGATTCACCGCAGTCATGAGGGATTGTGAAATAATCGACATGTAAAAGGGAGGATTACACACAAGCCACTTCCATATATCAAGTCACATTTGTATATACATTAGAAACTTGCTTGAGCCCCGCCTTAGTGTCCTCGCTTTCTTTGCCTTCATAACGAAACGCGTTGTTGAAATATACATGAATATCCACAGAACTATAAACATTTCTTTGTAATATATTGATTTCACAAAATTCTTTTCTCCCTAGTTGTTCTTTGCTTTCATCGTTCATCATCTTAATAATGTTCTCTGAAATAGGAACACAGAGCGGGTGGAGAATACATGATTTGTTGAATTTTTTTTCTGCTATCAAAAATTATTGCACGTGGTCTGTGGGAGCATCTTCTCTTCTAGGGGTATAAATATAAATTATTATACTATTATCGTTGTTATTGTCATTTTGATACCAGAACATCAAGACTCCAGCTGAGCATGAAATCATCATAAACCCATCTTATCATAAGGGCGAAAACAATGATAAGAAATTTTGTTTGATATTAATTTTATTAGATTAACCACACGATAAAATAAATCATTTGGTTTTGATGTGGCTTCCTGTTCTTTCCCCGTTTTATTGAGAACGGTAATAGATTTTACGTTACATAGCAAAAACAATGATATAAGGAATGTTGTTTATATGCAAAGATTCCAAGAATTTGGCTTCTTGAGGTTGTGCTTTTGTTATATCTCTTTCCCGTACGTCTTTAAACTCAAGAACAAGTCGCAGAAATGTTGGAACTAGTGAAATCATTTTAAATTACCGTCGGGAGTTTACCGTTTCAGTGCTTTTCCTTAAATGCCGCAAAAAGCCTGAGAGTAAAAAACGTGACTTTCCATTAAGTACACGCCCATACATCAATACAAAATGACGGAAAACTGAACAAATCAGAGAGGTCGATTAGAGCACTTGATAAAACACTCACCTTGACAGTACGGCATTCCATTACTCAGAATTGTAGTTTAAATACCAGCACAACGTACATTTTTATGTTTGCAGGAGAAACAATAAGTATTTTTATAATCCGTCGGAATTTGAAGTGATCTATCATTTATGCTATTAAATAGATAGCAAACTACGAATTTGACAAAATATAACAATAATAGAGGCGGCTCTGTACATGGAAAAATCAACCATACTGAGATCAGAAAATTTGACCTCACCTAACTTTCGCTTCCCTCAGCTTTGACCCGAAATTTCGGGAGCAATTTACCACCAGTAATGCTACTTTAAACACATACATATGGACATCTGTAGACCATTTGATTGTTGTCGACAAACCGATCTTTTAACCCCAGTTACTGCTATCAAACCTGATAAAAAGGATGAGTGATGCTCATACTTTTGTAGCTGTTTTATTATTAGATGAAAAACCAGGGAATTGGCATTTTTTATGGTTTTGATGATAAAAAGTGAATGTAAAAGACGATCCTTGCCCTAACGACTTTCAGTCCACCCTCAGTTTAAGATAAAATAAACCATCCACGATTGTTTCTATATAAACACATGGGATGAACTTGACTGTAGATTGCAAATTATTCATACAAAACACTTTTTTCGGAAGCAAGGTAATTGTAGTGTGTTTAAATATAACGCCTCCTCTGTTCTTGTTATCGTTATCTGTATTATTCTCATATGCCCCTCTGATCAATTCACAAACCAGGATTGATTTACAAATCAGAGTGTCCTCACTGATCCTCAGACATCTTGATGACTTATTACTTGGACTATTATTCATTTGAATTCAAAATATAATGAGTTGGAAAGCCGCGTTGTCGAGAAATTGCTGACAAGGAAATCGATGATTACCTTTGAACATCGGACAAATTCTCTTCCACACCGTCAAACAGCCGCTTCGCTGATACTGCCCCAGGGCTAACTCCATGTAGAATAGGGGGAGACCCCCGAAGATCAACATCACGATATATGGGATGAGAAAGGCCCCTGGAAAGAAGAAGAAAAACAAGCGTAAAATCGGGCTGTCATATCGAACTTAAAATCTAAGAAAGGGTGAACTTATTTGGCCGCCGTCCCGTTAAAATTGAACACATGATGGCAGGGTATCGAATACAAAGTTATTTGTGAGATGGAAAAGACTGGGGGAATATTGTATGCAATTTCCATTTGATTCAACAGCCTTGAGGTGCTGACAAGAACGGATAATGAAAAAACTCACTGAGGATAGGGTATCCAATAATCAGTGAATGTTAAGGAAAAAACATGTTTGATCGCTTTTTAGAAAGTTTCCGTAATTCATTCAAGCTTTAAATAATTATTTTTACGCGCCTCGAACACGTTCATCTGTTCAACATGTGAAACAGTATAGCTTCATTCGTTCACATCAGCTATTTTTTTCAAATTCTGGCCTGAAATTCTATGCTGAGATAATAAATCGTTCACGTGTATCTAACTAATTGACAATGTTTTTTTTTCTCCTTCACGAATGTGCCGTAAAACTAACCCAACTTCTTCTACGCCGGATTTAAAAATGTGAAGTACTTTAACAACGGAGTTGACTACAAATTACACAAATTTGCGGGTTCATGTTTTCATTGTAAATTAAACCTGCGGCCTTTGGCGTTATAACAATCTCTACCATGCCTTAAAACAATGGCTTGTTTGAAACAAGAATTGGCCTCGGCAGGACTCTTGGTTTGTTGCTGAATTGTACACAGATTAGAGCGGCAGAGCAGACATATAACATATACAAGTGATTGTGACGGTCACTTCATATTAAAGTGGAATTCAGGTTATACTTTTATTTCATTTGACATTTCAATGCCAGAATAACTCCCAGTCGTCATAAAAGCCTATTTTTCTCAAAACACAATACCGTTATTTTCTCCAACTTTCCCAAGTAGGTGACACGATTTTAGCACAATAAGAACACATGCTGGTCTCAGCTTCGTACGTTTAAAAGATAAGATTTAAAAAAAAAACAGGTTAATAATGCGCGGAAAAGAATAAGATTCGTACACGTGCCTAATGCGCACTAGTCTTAAGCCATACCACCACGTGATTTCGCCTTTCTAAGTCGTCTTCATTGCGTTTATTATTAAAACAGTATGTGTATAGAACGATTTTTCTGTCCAAAAAACTAATAGTATCCGACCTAGACCAACCAAACGATGCAGTGATTTACATATACAAATATACATTGTAAATCCGAATTAAATGACTCTTGGTGTTTTCAACACAATACTGACCACAGAGCATTGATATTAGGAGAATATTAGGTGATAAAACTTACCCCCGCCGTTGGAGTAACAGACATAGGGGAACCTCCAAACGTTTCCCAAATCCACGGCAAACCCGATGACAGAGAGAAGAAAGTCCACTTTTTTCCCCCAAGTTTCTCGTTCCGGTAACTCAGCTTTTTTGGCATCTTTTGTTTCGGCTAGTATTTTCTTTTCGCCATCTACAGTTCCATCCAGGACAACTTTCTGAGTTACAGCTTGTGAGGACATTGTGTCTATGTTGTCAGCGACCGGTGCTGAACTGGTTTCTGAGCAAGAGTTGTCAAAGGACGAAATTCTCTTCACCGTCCCTTCGCGCTCATGTGTTGTTGCTTCTGGGAAAGGCTTTAGATTTACTTCAGTGTTTTTCACCCCTTTTCCCTCTTCGTCCTCGTCTGTGTGTGCACGGTGGACATGTGCCAAGTGGGAATCAGAGACTTTCCCTTGTTCAGTTTCAGGAAAAGCTAAAGCGCCCTCTGGCGGCAGATGGGTATCTGACTGGAAAGCCGCATTGTAACAACCTTTTGATTCAGAAGAAGATCCTTTTATCCCTCTCTCATTGATTTTATGCGAGTCTTGATCACAGTTTTTGACGTTTGAATCTTTAAACAGTGGATTATCATAAGCCATAGTAGACTTCTTCTGCACTTGCCGGTCATATGGAATAGAGTCATGTTTGGGTACTTTAGCGCGTTGATCTGACAAAACCTTGTTTATTTCTTGATACGCAGAGGCAGTTTGCTGGGGTCCTTCGGTAACAGGATTTGTTTGAGACATGACGCTTACTTGACGCACTTTCCGCTTCTAGCCTTGCATCAGGAAATAATATTAAGAAAAAAAAGATTAATAAATAACCCTTTAAAGCACTTGCTCTTAAGCATTTTATCTTTTTAAGGTTCCAAGAAAATCGTTGGGAAGAATTGGAGTAGGAGTAGGAGGAAGGCTAGGAGGAGAGATGGGGGCGGGGGTGGGGGAGGAGGGGCCAGGCAAGTGCTTATCGACCAAAGAATCAAGGAGCCTTTTAAAATATTACCTTTTTTGTCCTGCACCAGGCCATTCTGACTGTACCAGTAAGATAAAGAAATATGCGAAAGATTTTACGATTATTTATTGCCACCGAAATTATGTATTCACCCTAATTTTTTTAATAAGACATATGAGGCAAATTGTTGGGAGGCAGGACAGAAGAATTATGCTGATAATATTTCAAATTGTAAATTTTGCACTGAATGCTGACAGTGAATTATTGCAATTCTGGTGTGATATAAGTACACATTCCCTTAAGACAACTAGCTGAAGAAAGTGAGCATCGTAGAAGAGACGCACTGATAACGAATCTAAAACAGCGACTTCACATTACGCACGGATTACATGCATTAATCGATGTTTTGGATTACCCGATTAAGTGCACGTAAAAGAACGTAATTGAACGCTACTGAAACCCAGGCGCTGCGCTTTGCAACACGGATTTCCAGGGGCAAAGTTGTACTTGAATGCCGACCTCACGCACCTGTCTACCGGGGGAAGCGCTATTTATTACCTCACCCCTAAAACAATGATATGTTCCGCTTGTTGATGACGTAATTGTAGATATATGTACTTTTTAACACGCTCACGTTTTAGGGGATATTTGGACTTTGATTGATTGTCTACTCTGAAGGAACTGTTAACGGTATTGAACTTTCCTACATCAGACATTTCAAAGAACTTCTCTATCGTCCTTAAGTCTATCGCAAATTCTTATACTAAGATAACATTGTGTTTGAAGGGATTTATAACCCTGGCCTTTTAGGGAAACGAAATTCCCAACATTTGAAATATTTTTGTCACATTTGTTTTCAATTAAACGGGTTCATCCTTGTTTTAAATCACAAAAAAAAACTTCCGTTCGTAAAAATAGCTTTAAAAATTATTGACTTTTTTATTTAAAAGCTAAATGGTAACGAGGTAAACATGTGTCAAATAACGTGAGTTCCCAGTATGATTGCTCTGTACGCCATTACCAGCATTTCTCTGGATTTGTATTGAAAAAAGTCAAAATACCAGATTTAGCCTCTTAATAGCACTCGTCGGCAGAGGATTACTGTAGGGCCGGATTTGAATCTTATCAAATCTTCGAATCTTATAAAACAAGTTTTGTATATGTTTCTAACTGGACAAAATAGAGAGGTTGATACTGGTTTTTACAGAAAAAAGCATCCAACGAGTTTTAATAGTGTGCAGTCATCACCATCACCTCTATCAATTCAATGTCCTTTTCTCGACACTTAAAGGGATAATAACTCTTCGCATGAGATCTATATTTCACAATAAAAACATTGTGAAGAACTCATAGAAATTTAATATATTCTGTTTTACCACAAAAACGGCAGTAATAACTATTATTCTGATATCTGAGCTTGTCTTTAGACCACGTGACCTCCATTAATGGCTATACTCTGTTATAATCTCTTAAGAGATTTTAACAAAAAACCAAACTTTTTAGAAAAAAACCAGGGACTAAATTTGAATGTAAAAATAGATTCATTTACCATTGGTAAGTATGGGAAAATTGTTGTTTACTCCAGGAAAATTCATTTTTTGGGCAAAACGAAGAGTTATTATCCCTTTAACATCAGATTTTTAGGCGGAAATGTAAATTTCTATGAATTTGAACAATTCCTCAAGAGGGGTGATGTCAACATATTTGTCATTTTTTCCGTGGTCCCAACACTGGTCCTCTGGTGGCCTGCCACCCTGTGCAACGAGTTACCTGCATAATGTTGACATCAGTTTTGCCAAAGTATAGACACCAATACTTAGGTACTATGTTTTGTACTAATGTTTTATTTTCTTTTAAGTTAATATTTCCTTTGAATAAAGGATGAGGTCTATTTCTGTGATTATCTTTTATTTCATGGTTTAATTTTATCGTACCATAGGAACGTTGCAATAGCTACGCAGGTGACATGTGACCAAATTTCGCAGGCCACCGGTGGGCCATCGTGGCCCAACAGAAAGACTGCCTTTGGCCCAATGTTGGCTCACTAACAGTGTGCTATCTAAGGTGCATCAATAGGCGATTGGTCAGTTTTGGAAGAAAGGTGGATTATCTTAATCCCTTCCCGGTTAAGCCTCTGTAAGTGCCTTCAACATAACAAAGCATCTACCTGTAGAGCAAATAACAAAAGCAGTAACAAATTCGTCACAGTCGGCTAGATCGAATGTGTGGCTGCCACTCGAAATACTGATACGACACTATATAGAACTCGACATGTTTGGTTAGTGCTAATAGATGCACAAGTTTCTACAACTCTTCATCAAAATGCATTAGTGGTCAATGTTTTAAAATGTGAGACCAAGTGATCGCACGTTTTTACCTGCTGGATGCCCCGTGTCCGTTCAACCTTTGCTTATGTAGTATGTTTTATATGTAGGCCGAACAAGGTGAATATGTTTTTTTTTTACAGTTAAAGCAGTGCAGGTATATTTTCCCTTTACCTGTGCTCAGTGATGCAAATCAGAACAAAAGACCTACAACAGTGTTGTCCTGAGCAATAGTGTCAACCCTTCCACGACACCCGACTCCAATAATCGAAAGGGCGTGTTTAGTTAAGGCATTTGCATGTGCAAAAGGGACGCAGTGCACGCCTTGGGTGTGGTAGACGCACGACCACGAACAGTTTTGAAGCAAGACTCGTTTCATCTCCTGAACGGTAGAAAGAAGAGAAAATTATGTGATGGGAATATCAAATGACGCTTCTGACGAAACATCATCGCTGTGTATTGTAGGGAAGGTGCCCCCAGAATGACCCTTTGACAACTCTCGAGAGGTGTTTTAAAGTCAAAGAGTGATAGATAGTGTTCTAGCTCTGGACAAGAGAAATTATGTCCGAAAGTAAGTATATAATTTCATGACGATGACGTGTGTGCTTGTGTATATGTCTGTGCGCCCGTGTGTGTGTGTGTGTGTGTGTGTGTGTGTGTGTGTGTTTGAGAGAGAGAGAGAGAGAGAGAGAGAGAGAGTGGAATTATGAAGTCGTGATCAACATGCGAAAAAATGTTATAATTGTCTTTATCAAGCTCACAGAGAGCAAAAAAGAAAGGGATCTACCTATATGGCATGTAGGTTACGAGTGACATGTAAACGCAATGTCAGGAACCAGTCTCAATATGGCTGCCTATTGTAAGGTCGATAAATCCTCCATTATTTGGGTTAAAAGTTGGTTGAGCTCTATACCTCGAAGCTTTCTTATAAAACCAAGCCTTGTTCGTTGCACACCTCTTCCATTCTAACTCAGTTCAACAGATGGGAGTTTTATATGCATTCATACTTTTCTAAAAATTTAATAAGGCTTACATTTATTTAGTCTTATTGGCGATTATTCGTGTAAAATAAATAGCACCCCTTGTGGAACATCAGAAATTTAATGACACGAAGAAACTTAAATATGATAGAACTACAGCATATTTTTTCTGTTAGATATAAATCTTGATGTGAAGACTTGACTGAAATATAACAGTGTGAAACGTGGCTATTTCAGATCAAGGCAATGAACCACCTATGCAGGCCGGGTTGTCCCAGGGAGTGGTCACAGCTTTAGCAATAGGGTGCAGCGTACTCTTTGTCCTGCTTGTTATTATTATTATTCTGGTCATAATACTCAGGTAAGTGTATTGGGATCTCTCTCTCTCTCTCTCTCTCTCTCTGTATACCAGCTTGGAGAGAGATACAAGGATTTTTCAATCTAACGCTGGACACCTACATTGCTGCTCAAGCACAAGAAAAGAGTAGATAACAGATGTAGATGCCAGGAGAAAAATTAATGCATACTTGTAGTATAGTTTTTATAGTTCGTTTTAAACAAAATAATGGCCTCCATATACCTTGTGTTGTATTAATTATTACAGGCGAATGAAAAATAACAAAGACGAGACACAATCAAGAACAGAAAAAGCACAATCAAAAGCAGCGGAGGAAGACGACCGAGGTCCGCTTGATGTGACAGACGTAGCACAATTTGAACCATCGAAAGGAAAACAACTGACACAATCGGGTGCTGAACTCGATCCCGAGTCAATTTTTGTTGAAGATAAGGAATTTAACAAAATTTCAGACAAGGACACCGGCGAGGCGGAAACCGAAAAAGAAGTAAAGAGGGAAAACGGCACAGACGCAGTGAAGGCGAACACAAAAAATGATATCGATAAAAAACGAGAAAGCCAGACTTCGTCGAAAAACAAACCAAAGAAATATAAGGCACCCATGCCAAAAGTGGAAGTTGAACTTAATGATGAAAGTAAAGGATCGTCCGGCAACGATGTGAAATATAAAGATGCCGAAGAATATTACGCTAATTCTAAATATGCGAAATTTGCAGAGTTCAAGGAAGCCTTCAGGGAACATAGAAGAAGCCGACACAGAAGCATGGAGGCTGAAAATAGACCTTCAAAGAAAGAGCGGCATGGTAAACGCAAAAGAAAAAGCAGACGATCGGAGACAGATGCCTATGACAATGCGGCATTTAGTGGCGAGCTGAAGGAGATGAATCCGGATGAAGATTTGGTTTTCGTTAGTCCTGACTCTGAGGTTTAGCGGTCTAAGTTCAACAAATGGATTGTCAGATATAGCGAATGCTTTTTACCAAAAAATATATACACCGCATCACACGAAGAAACGAAAGGCATGTTTAGAACTGAAACAATGCTGGTGACGTCTTGCACAGCAATCTGCACAACTCACTGCCATTTGCCGTATAGGTCCCTATACATTATCACATTATGTCAACGTTACGTCATATTATCACATTTCAAAACTTCACTTAGCATACATTGTTACTATGTGAAGAAACTGTGAAGATAAACACATATTTAACCCTATATTCACTCGGCATTCTCAACAAACTACTCATTTTTTAGCGAATGTGATTTAGTTCGACCTTTAAAAAGACAATAATGCGATAATTTTTTTAATTGATAAAACGCTTGCTATTACGCACACAAAAGAAAGATTAATATAAAAGAAATGTTATATTGTGCCACCCTGATATTCAGTAAAGTGATGAGGTCTCTTATCTGTCGAGAACATGTTTAGATGAAACATTCTAATTCTAAGACAAACATCTAAAGGTAATTTTCATCTACCCATTTAAAGGAGAGGTGCCAATAAACCCTCACACTCCGGGTGCATATTGGGTACGAATGCCATCAAAAAACAAACTGCAATAGAAAAAGCGTGAGTGTGCCTTAATCTTTCTTTCAATATGTCATTTATCAACAGTGTCAACATGGACAGCGTAAGATTAAGAGCAAGTGTAATATTCTGTATGACAGATGAAAACATAAAGATGATAACATTTATTAAGTTTTGAAGGACGTTTTCTATCTTATGCTCACACATGTCGTGAGCGGAAATGGCTTATTTCTGATTATTGTAAGACGTCCGCATGAGTTTTTTTGGGGCGAATCCTCTATATTTATATTTATATATGACCATCACGTTAAACCAATTTGAAATAAATAAATAAATTTGACAAATGTTTATACCAAAAAAAGCTTTAAGTAAAGGTTCTCTTTTCTCAAACAACCTGACCGCCAGATGTCATGCACACTACACAAAATATAATACTGTACCGCTTTATCTTCTTTTAACACCTAAAGGTCGGTGGCTGCATGCTAGGCAATCCTTTTCCTTGGCACCGCATACTTAAACCTAAATGTATCTCGCTCTATCAGTCTTTCGTGACGAAAGGGAATAATGAAGACCGAGGACGCTTATTCTAACCTGTGTAATATTATCGTTCTGTGATAAAAAGGCCGAGATAAGGTGTTATAGCCGAGAGGAAAATTCTACAAATTTCAGCATGTCCAAGTGTTTTCAGAGCATTTCTCACCTGGGCCAAAGTTAACATGATATTTCGTTGAAATACTGCGCGCGAGGAATTGGAAAGGTCGGTACTATTCAATTACACATCAATTATATATTTTAATGACTGACCATGACAGCTTACAACAATCGTAGGTGTGCTTTTCGTTTGATAGGGCCAAAATGTCGACCCAAAGGTAAATGCATCTGAAGGTTCAATGTTGATGTTTGACCTCGTCTAGCGGTAAACAGCCAAAACTCGTTCAGGTGGATTAGTGACATGAAAAAATGCGACTATATGACACCGACGCAGCTGACACCCAAACTGTGTCACCGAACAAGATATCATTTACTAAAGCTATGCAACGTAATGTAATCTTTTTGTTCGAAAATTAAGAAATCCCAACTGTCAGTCTTAGCGGTCCCGGGATTAAATGGAGAAAGAGGCACAGTAAAACTGATAGAAAAGTTGTAGAAAGTTCCCCACAGTTATATGCCTTTTAGTAATATGACCGCAACTGGAATGAAAATCTCTTTTTGTCATAATATTGTTGAGTGACATTGGTTAATGCAGTGAATGAATCGTTTAGCGAAAGGCAATGCTAACTCAAGTGACTCAGTTATTGGTAGTTTACCTTGACCTTTGAAAATATGTTGCTTTACTGGTGGTGAATAAGCCAAAATGCTTACCAGTATATAATTCATGCGTTTATTTCATTAAGTCAAGATGACCACTGATGCCACCTCGAGTAACGTCACTTTCCTTCTACCAGCAATAGGTATGTATAGAAATGTATGAAAGAAACATTCTTTACATGCGCATTTATAAACAACCATTCACAAGTCAGGTTTGCCTCAAATTTTGGGAGGTATCTGTGCATCATATTATTTAACTTTTATTCTACGCCTCGTTTCGTACATGAGGTGCATGCACATACTTCACTTAAAGTGCAGTTTATGCTAAAGAATATTTCATCGATATGGAAACAAGCTCCCAGGGTTTCAGAGGACACTGGGAAATCACCTCTTAACTATCAGTTTGCAGATGCATATTGATGGTAGAGAGATTCGTTCCGAGTGTCCTATGATCAAGGAGTTCCAGCTGCTGGAACTCCTTGCTATAATTGAACTAATAATATTACCTGATACATAATACATGATATATATGTGTGTGTGTGTGTGTGTGTGTGTGTGTGTGTCTGTGTGTGTGTATGTGTGTGTGTAGTGATGATATATATATGTGTAGTGATGGTGCATATCTGTTTATGTAATATTATTGCTATTTATATGTGTAGAAGTTTTTGGGGTATTGTTACTATTACTGTTTATCTCTGTACTGTACATTTTCACCAGCTCATTGTGATGGAAAAAGTAGGCCTACGTTTAAAGATCTACTTTTCTATTACCAGTGCAATAACCATTTCATTCAAAAACTGCATTTTATTCACTGGCGAAATTTTAATTAATCTCGGTATTTTTACCCACTTTTTGTCTTGTGTTTAAATTTTCATCTAGGTTTATCTCATGATGACTCTCATGGCAACAAAAGGCCTTCTGACCAGATGGACGTTCACGGCTCTCTGAATACAGGAGGGATGGCTGGAATAATTGTTAGCTGTATAGTTGTGCTGCTTATAATACTCATTGTAGTACTAATTGTCTGGAGACGGTGAGTATTTTGGTGCTTTATGATGATATTGGTAGTTTAATAAACGTCTGGAACTTTTATTTTAAATTTCTCAAAAATATGTCTTTGTAATTTAACAAAAATTCGCTCCATACCATGTAACCTCAAGGTATTGCTTCTGTACTGTAAAAATTATATCTCTATGGCTTATATATATTCTGCACAAGAATGTTAGTTCATAAACGGCTTGCAGAGATTGTAGTCTGGATATGACATTCTTTCATATCGACGCAACATATAATGGGCACCATATCCTCACATTAACGTTGCAAAAGAACTTTTCGAAAAAAGTAAAAAAAAAATTCTTTCTCTGTGCTTGTTGTGCTACTTAGATCTGTTAGAAAGTGTAATCGCCTTTTCACTTTTTTTTCAAGTCAAAATTTAAAGCAATAATAACTCTTCCTTTGAGATTCAAAAATCCGCATGAAATACATAGTAAACAACGCATGGAAATATATTCTATTGTATTTTACCACTAAAACGGCCGTTATTGTAGGAAAACTAAAATCTGTGCTTGTCAATAGGGCTTTCGATCGCTTTTTCCGGTCGACAAGTGCANGTTTCCCATCATCAGATCTTAGGATATTTGAGAATTCAAAAGTAGCGAGTAGTAATCCGGGCTTCACGTACGACGACACAGTAGACAGTTCGCCAGCAAATGACGTTGGTATTAACCACAAAAACAGTGGAAGTGGAAATAACAACGAAAACACACCAAAGGCTGCCAAGGACACGGATGATACTGCCAGCGATGACACGGACTTTAGCGTAGGTGCAGTGCGTGCGCAATTTGATCCAGGTAGCACTACTTTACTCACTTCTGGGAGAGACCTGACAACCAGCGAAAAAAACTTAGAAAGCAGTGGAGCACCAGATTTGAAGAAAGGACACAAAGAGACAGCTGTATGATCCGATTAAAAAATACGCGAGGAGGATTGAGTGTACACGTAGATAACGGGAATACACTAAAATTTTTAGTGAAAAATAAGCTGTATAAGGGAGGGGGCTGAGATATCCAATTTTATACGTAATGCTAAATTGAAAATAAACCTAACAGATATTATGAGAGAGTGAATGTTCCAACTCATCCAGAAGTGTAATATCACAAAAGATTAAAAAATTTAATACAGTTATATATAACGGGTCTCCTCTCTGCGATATCAGGTCGTAAGTCCAGAAATAGTTAACTTTTCCTTTTATCTAACAGATACAGTGTATATGTATTGTGTTGATATGGTCTCTTGTCCGAGTGACAGTTTTCATGACCTTCATGACGTTTAGGAGTTTAAGTAGCTATCAAGCGATATACTTATGAAGTATAATTTTGATCAACGTTTACTACATTTGGGGCGATTTCGTTTGTGAAGCTCTATAAATGAAAACGTAACACGTGTAGTTCATTTTACATCCAGTGCTTCGCCCGTTACCAGTGCGGTGTTTTCAGTTAAAACTTTGATTTGACACCATTCGTTTTATTCTATTTCTCCAAAATTAAAATATCATTACTTGGTACAAATATAACCACAATTTTCTTTTTTACACAAAACATTTATTTAAACCCAGTTCGAAGTTTTAAAAAATCCTACAGCTATTTTGTTTTTAGGATTTTTTCACCACTTGTCAAAAGCCGAGTAACGGTTACATGTGTAAAACTGCATCTTCCAGGAGGATAAAATTCAATACTTTATTTTTAAAAATATATTTTTGAAATACAAGTGCAAGCATACAGGTAAGTTATCTGAAAATGAATAACTTTAAAACAAATAAAAGGCAGAAAAAGAATTATTTCATATTACACTCATCAAATGTAGGAGATCTTACGAAACGTCTTTCCACTTAACAAAAAAGGTTCATGGCTTTGAGATGACATCACTGCTAAACAGCTTCAACACAAATCTACTCGATTATTCACAAAAACATTTATCTACAATGCTTCCAAACCTTTCCCATAACATCACAAACACTTCCTTCCAAGAGCGTCTCGCAGATTGGACGAGTGAAGTATTGAAATGACAGTAACCACCGCTAACATTAAGAGCACGGAGACGAGGGAAGAGGGATAAAAAAAAACTATAAAACTTCAGAGGGGTCAATGCATTTCTAGTAAAAAAACAAAACAAAACAAACAAGATATATATATTACAATGCATTTATTTTTTCAAGGAAACATGCCATAAATAAGACAAACGAACAGACCAGGCAGCAAAAGCTACCAAGTGTTTAGAACAGTGGCTGAAGGTTATGGAAAACTCTTCAGATCAATACAGTCAGTGCACCGGTTTCTCAAATACCACATTTTCAAGCTCGGGTGAATCTTACAGGCACAAGAAAGCGATACACTTGATAAATAAAAAACTTGTAACGGAAAAAAGTCGATCTGAAATTCAGTATTTTAGTGCAGTATCTTCACGTTCTATAGGTGGCTATATAAGTTAGAAGGAAAACAATTGTTTTCTAGTTATTTTGCTAACACAGTTGTAGTGCAACTTTTACTTTTGGCATAATTATTCATCACAAATGACTACACTACATTTACACCTGACAGCAACTTTCAAGAATCCAATGACCATTTTACAAGTGTACCTGGAAACAAGAAAATTCTAAGACAGGTGAAGGCAATTTTGGTGTAGACTTTCTGTACAGGCACAGCACTGCCAGTAACCCAAAACTAGTGGGTTTAAAATAACATATTAAGTAAACATATATGAACATATTAGTGCCTGCCTTGCTTTGTATGGCAATACTTCATCTGTAACTAAAATTTAACAATGATTTTTATTTATTGCAAGGGCAAAATGGCAAACAGTAGTTTTTGTTATTACTTCATACCATCCTTAGTCTGGCCTCTTCAAAATTAATACTGCTTTCTTTAGTAAGTTAATTAAAATACAAATGTTTTTTTTTCTTGTGACACATGATATAATCAAAACATCTTTCTCCATAAAACAGTAGGTCACAAAAACATCCATAAATTGAAAGACAAATGCAATTGAGCAGAAGGAAAAATATTTTCTGCACAAGATAGGAAAAGCTTAAAGGACCAGCACCAGATTAAAATAACTAACATCCACAATAAAAATACCTACAATACGAAAACAGTAAGAAAAAAATCTATGAACAAAGATAACTCATGAAAGCAAACTGTTGAAAATAGCTATCATACTATTCAGAGTTATTTCTATACAAGAGGCACCACAGAGTCATAATCATTGATTTAAAATCTCAATACTGTCTCAAAAGTTCATGTGGTTTCTGCAAATCAAAAATATTTAAAACATGGTAATTAACCTTACCTAGACCAAATACCACTACTTCAAAGATTTAAGTTTTCCAGAAACCATGTTCACTTTGGGATGTCTCCTTAATATCATACTTGTAACCTACAAGCTGAAACCGATTACTTTTCTATTTGACATGCACAATAGCACATCTGAAAAACACACTCAAATTCTCTGATTACACAAATGGTAACCATACCCTATCAATACCTCCGACTCTTCATATGCAAACAATAAATGTAAATAGTGAAAACAATGCATTAAAAAAAGTATTGAATATATTGCTGCCAGACAAACAGATCCATAACCTAAAACACAGATTGCCCCTCGGTCTGTGACAATTGTGTATTTTACATATATTGAAAGCCTATATTTACATGTATATATATATATATTTATATATGTACAGATATAAAATACTGTTCACCATCCACTCTGAGCTACACTTCATGAAGTGACACAAAGTGTAGACCAAAAGTATTGATATCATCATCTTGAATATCCTCCTATTTACCATTTTCCTAGAGGAAACTATGACATATAAAGGCAAAATGATACAGAAAACGTAGCTGAAGATATCTCTAAAGAGTGAATGTCTTTTTCAGAATCAGATCCTACACCTGACTTCTGGCATGACATCAGCCTGCTTTCCAGGTCAAGCACATATCATAAAACTGATGTGTCTCATGGACACCTATACTTCACATATTCCTTCACTTTGAGTGGCAGCCAGAGTTTATCTACTGATTGTGAGGGTGTAAGGGTGCGTAGGGCCATACGACACAGGTGCTGCAGTGGCTCCACTTGCCTGGGGAAAGCAAACAGACTGGTGGTGCCATCTCTAGTCCTGCAAGAGAATTAATACTAAAATTACATCAAATCAAATCAATGGAACAACATGTTGTGACACCTGAAGCTTTTAAAGCGGTGTTCTGCTGATAATTTAAAAGCAATGTTTTATAAAACAAAGCAGCAAAGAAAAATTAAATGTTAGCAACTCCAGTGAAATCAAACTTAAACTTAACACATGAATAGAAATTTATTCAAGAGTTAATACAGATGTTGAGGGTTGCAATCAAATGATTGCTTTAATTGTTATACGTAAAGAGCACAGCAATTAACCAAAGGTTGGGCAGCATTGGTGAGAAAATTTGTCTAAAACCTTTAAGCAATATTTTCTTAAAGAAAAAAAGGCAAAGGGGTTGAATATTGCTGCAAAGTGCTTCAAGCAGATTTTGGACACATTTTGGATACTTACTGTATCCTTTAATTTCTGTTGCCAACTTGGTAATTTCCATTCATATAAACCCTAAATCCAAATACTTCAGACCACTTTTTTTAAAAACTATCAGTCAAAATGAAATTTACTGAAATCTTTTTAATAAGATTTCCAGATTTTGTTGACTTTAAAATTAATAAAGTATATTTGTTGAAAGCTTATCATAATGAAATCATAACATAGTGATCATTAATAAAACTAGTCTTGCTTTTTTGATAATTTTGACCCCTCTGCCTTTTATAGCATTCCCTATAGCTATATTTTCTAATACAAGATATGAACTTAATATTTTTTGTTTTGGCAAGAGTTTTGTTGTAAAAACGGATTGTCATTATTAATCAAGTATTAGTCAAAGAAATTTATAGAACAAAGTTAAAACCTGGGCAGAATAAGCCATCCAGTCTTCCATCTTGGCTGAAAGTTTTTCAAAGTCCTTTAATACAACAAATGGCCTTTCTTTTATTACGAAAACTAGTATATTTTGATTGTATGGCAAAATACCCAAAAGATGGTATAAATCTGACCCTATAAAACAGTGGGGACCAATGAAGCCCAACCTTGAATTAATCCACTGAATTCTGAATCAAAGGGAAATCACCACCAGTAATAATCCCCAGGTCTGCACTGTACGTACAAACCTGCACCAGCGGATATACAGTGCTAGTGGCAGGAGTGGATGAGGAGAGTTATGCACAGCAAAGCCAACCCTTTCTGGGGGAGAATCTTTATAATTCAGCTGCAACAAAACCATATGACAGCACACAACTCCACAAATTGCTTCAGCAGTAGCAAAAGCCAGGAGACTAATGTGAGTTAATGTGAACATCAAGAACCAATGTGCAGTTTGCTAAATTAGTTATGTTTTTAGCGTTGTAAACCAAATAATAACATTTCAAAAACAGTAACATTATTAACATGCTATTTATCAATATCAAGTACACAAAATGCTTTTCTTCCACTGCTTTTTCCAATTTAGCATCCAAAATAAATGTTTCCTATGGCCCCATTCAGAATAGGGGACTAACTAGTCCAAGGGTCAAATATGGCCGACCCACTTAAATACTTCCCCACGGGATATCTATTCAGTGTCTATTAGCGGATTAAATGGCAAGCGTTGTAGTAGGTCACCATATTTGACCTCGGACTAATTAGTCCCCTATTGTGAATGGGGCCTATAAGATATCTTGTGTAGACAAACATTTTCACTGCAAGGTTATGTTATATCACTCTTTTTATATTACAAAAGGCTTAAAACTAATAACTCTGTCATAGGAAGTACATTTACACCTGGCTGCATTCCTATTCCTTCTAGTAACTTACCCAACTGATACAATACTCCCAGTTGGAGAACATGCTACACAGAGAGCATCTGGTATAGTGGCAATCTGCTGTGGAACCAACTCATCCTCAATGGTCCAGATCCTTAAGTATCTGAAAATCCCAAAGATAATTTTTACGTGTCACTGCAACCAGTTTGCACATTTAGAGGAACATCACATTTTTTCACTGCATAACACCATCAAGCTTAATTGTAGGCTTTAATGGCCTAATTGTAGGCTCAATGAAGCCATTTTGTATTCAGGAGGCTTCAAAACTTTGAGTAAAAAATTACTACCATCTCTAAAAAACATGCATTTGTTCCAAATATGGTACTAAAAGTAATGCACAAAGGCAATAAATTGTCTTAAGATCAAAATTTGCACTGTTAGCAAAGCCTCCCTCCTCCAAATTAAGCCATTTAAGGTAACAGCCCCATAAGTCTTGATTATCTAAAGCCCATTTTATTACCATTATTATTGTATCTTACCCATCATCACAGATGGTAGCTATGTGTTTTCCATCATGAGAAAACACTGCACCTCGAACATGATTGCCATTAGCTCCTGAGGCATAGATTGGCCTGGGAGGTGGGAACAAATGACTGAAACGACAGTTTCTAATATATAATAATAGATAAATGAAAAGCAGTTTTTCAAGCAGAAAAGAATACCACAGAGTGACGCAATGTTTGTTGTCCAAAAGGAAAGAATAAAGAAGAATTAAAACTAGAAGGATTACAGACAGTTTTCTGAATCACTAGACAATGATCTTCAGTCTAGCCACAAAAAAGAGCTTTTCATATTACATTTAACATTTCACAAACTTTACGAATTATATCAGTCTTATAGTTGTTCAGTCATTTAGTGCCAGTTAAATTCGAAATCCTTAAATAAAAGGAACAAAACAACACTAACAGATTACAAAAGTAATGGTTTTAAAATGAAAGAACATTACTGAAAACCTCAGTGTCTTGCAGCAAAGATCTAAGAGTAAGACTGGGTTCCCATGCCTAGATTGATCCATCTGGATCGGTCTAACTCCCTGGGGAGTCTCACTAAATTGCTATCAACTTATTTGGCTTAATTGTCTGTCACGCCTACCGAATCAGCTGGCAGTAAAGATAATTATGCCCTAACAGCTTTACTAGGTGTGACAGACATTTAAGCTGGTTAAGTTGATAGCAATTTAGTGAGACTCTCCAGGGAGATAGATCAATCCAAATATCTGTGGGAATGGTCCCTAAGTCCCTGGAGATCCTGTGCTGAAGATTGGAACTGAACACACTTTTTCAACGAGTAATTATAATCATCAGGAACCTCACATCTCAAAAGACACTAAGTCAAATATGGTCTCAACATTTAGACCAATATTTTCATGTACTTTTACCCAGGATAATTACCTTGTATACCCATCTAAATATTAACCAATTCATCCTAAAATATCTATTCTCATAGTTAAAACTACCTTCACCAAGGCAGCACAATTCTCATTATAAATAATATCTATTAATCAATAAATTTATTAACTCATTTATTCAACTAATTTTGATTGGTATGCATTAATTGTTAATTAACTAATTAATAAGCTAATATGTCATAATTTTAAACATCTCATAATTAATCAAATAAATTATTAACTGATTAATTTATCACCACCAAAATCTCATCCATTTCTGACCTATCTTAAAAATTTCATCCAATCACAGCACAAGTTTTTGCATAATGATGGTCACAGATTTTATCAATGAATTAATTAATTCTGTCCACACCTTTTTCCATAATGCTGCTAATAGACAAACTGACAAACAGATAATCAGAGCCATAAACATAACTTCCAAGGTGGTGGCAATGTATTTTTAATGAATTTCTCTACTTGTAAAATAGGGTCATGATTCAATTTCTTTATCTTTTTTCTAAATGATTTAGAATATTGTCTAATTTGGTCATTGTGTTCCATTTCTGATGTTCATGAACCAAGGTCACCAAGTGTGAAGAGTAGCAAGTAATAAAAACACACATGATCCTGTCAACAACCTTAACCTGTTGTTTTCACAAACTCCACATCAACAAGTCAACAAATCAAATAAGGATAGGTTATACTGCAGGTAAAGGCACAGATGGCAAATAAATAGAGTGAATTTATGGGACAGGTCCTTGGAACTATTCCAACAGTCTTCCACTACTAACCATAGTTCCAACAGCACATCCCCTGTGTAGACATCCCACACAACTGCCCTGGTGTCATAGGATGCTGTGACTAGCAGTGCACCATCTGGTGAGAAGTCCACATCCACTACATTATGATGGTGGCCGATGAACTTTCTGATAACTTCATAAGTGTTGCTGTCCCACACAACCACCTGAAAAAATTAGGAAGACTGAGAACTAGCTTTTGTAAGACTATGGTCACTTTCTGCTGCTGATTTTTACAATGATAAAATTACAGTTATTGTTCATCATTATTGTATATTTGTACAGTTTATCAATTTAATATGAATGTACAACAAGGCAACAAAGCTGTCAAATGTACAGACAACAAGAAAGAAAAATCCAATCAAGCTGGTTTGCTAATTTAAGCTGTTTGTCAATCATTCTTTTAAGGGTTTTCATTTCATATTTACAAATTTATAATGGTGGACAAAATATGCTGGGAAAAAAAACAGTTCTTTAAGTTCGAAGACAAAAGGTTAAAAAGTTTTCATCATCCCCCCAAAGTTGTGCTTTTTTTCAAAGCACAGACATCAAAACACAAAACAGTTCTAACTTTTCAAAACTTTTTTTGGCTAAAATAAGCAAATTATTGTTTCCTGAACTCCACACTCTTAAAATTTACATATTGGTGACAAACACCATTATCTGGTGTCCAGGTAAGATTTTAAGGATGGTTGAGTTTAAAATAATATTTATATTGTCCTTATCAGCAGTACATTAGTACTGAGTCTGCTAACCCAATCTGTCTACCCATGAGATGATAATAGCGTGAAAGCACTTGTAACATATCAAGTCACCTTACTGTTTAAACAATGCTGGACTGTCCCTGTAATGTGAACCATGACCTTAGTGTTGTTTTGTATGGTCACCACAGGGCTCTCTACCCATAGCATGAATAAACTCTATTTAAACAAAAAAATAAATTTTATGAGACAAAAAAAGGTGAACACACGATTAATCTTCTTGATATAGGGATAAACAACCCTTTAAACTCACTGTTCTAGCACTCCCTACACCAGCAATCTTCTGACAATCTGGTGACCATCGGGCTGCATACATCCACTCACAACCTGGACGGAGAGTCTTATACATGTTTCCGTCATCATACATGTCCCAAAGTTTAATTGTTCCATCTCTTGAGGCCGAGGCCAACCTCAGACTTCCATCAGGAGCAAAATGTAGACCACGGACCACTGTTTTGTGATCATAGAGTTCTGTTATTAGTTTATCTGAAGAAAGACAAGTTCATACTGAATTGTATGTGCCTGATCACTTCAAAATACTTTCATATAGAAAATAAAGTCATAAATAAAGAATTAGGACTTACTGCTGATCAAAACAACTGATATTCAAGAAAGAAAAAATCTTACTTGTGTCCAATTCCCATATTTTGATTCTTCCATTGTTCAGCCCAATGGCAAGCATGAGATTCGCAGAACGAACATGATGGTAGTTTATACTACATGTTCTTGGGATTTTCTCAGACACTGCAGACCCTATAGCTACAGACCATACCAATTCTCCTGCATCTATTGTACAACCCTTGTGAGTTAAAATATCTCCATTTTCATTAATGTTGTCAAGCTTTACTCTGAAATACAACAGAGACATTATATCACTGGGCTGTAGCTAGCATGTAGAATTTTCGCCAAGTGCTAAAGGTAACCTACCTCCTTAAAAAAATAAAATATCTAGTAACTCAAAAAATTAAATTAAAATAAAAAAAAAATGTTCTTACCTGAACCCAGAATAATAGCAATCTAAGGTTCTTTTGTGAAACAGGCTGCAGTTTTAAAAAAATCAGTTTTTTGATAAAATCTAAGTTTACTTAGTCTCTGCTGACTAAGCTGTGTTTCAAAGAATCTACAAGTCTCTTTTTTTAATCTAAAATTTCAGCAAATAGCCAGAAAATTTAGCCCTCTTGGGAGCTGCCTAAACTCAGTTTAAAAAACTGAAACTTGTTAATTCAGAGCATAATCAACAAAATTTTCAAAACTAATAACTTATTTAAGATATGCTTTTATCATCTCAATGAATTTTTGTGAAACAAGAGACACTTTTTTCTTTTTTGTATATTAATTTGTAATACAAAATGTTTCCAGAAAACTGAACAATTTATTTCAATTAAATTTTACATCTTATATAAAAAGTTTAAGGATATTGTAACCCTTTATTATCATCCAGATACCAAAAATGAGTTTTTTCTTGCATCTAATTATTTAGTAATGTATCTATCATTGTGCTGATTAAAAACAATGAAAAAATCCAAGAAAACATAAAATATCTGCATTTATCCTCAATTCAACACCTTTCTATTTTGAGGTGAGATAGCAATCGGTATGGGGTGTAACTTCATCCCTGAACAAGATTTTATCACGGAAATTGGCAAAGTTGACCAGGAGTGTATAGGCAACAATGCCGAGCCATCATTTTGGTTTAAATGTTCTCATTATGGAGTTATGAGCCCCTAATTTCCATTAAACAATGGCATTATTTCGTTTTATCAACGATAAAATCTAAACTAAGACTTTTAAGAAAAATCACTGGCAGGGTTTTGGAGTCCTAATGGCGTCATTAAATTGGTGTTAAAATGGCAATCGTGGGTGCTCAGGTAAAAGAGAAAATTGAGAAACTGGTTTTTCAGTTTTTACCCCAAAATTGCAATTATGACATCACCTGTAAGATGACATATGTGTAAATGTTAATTAATTTAGTCACTGAACAATGAAATCTATTTATTACTCAAAAGAATGTATGTAAGGCAGTAAATAAAGAGTTTTGGGCAAAGGGTTACAATATCCTTAAGCTTTGGTGTTTTATCACCTGCCATTTTGACAAATGTCCATTGCTTACGAAGTTTTCTTTGCATGATTCCATGGAATGACTTTTACACATCTTTCTCCAAAAGCACAAGCGAAGTAGGAGCCATCAGGAGCCCAGGCATTGTCCCAAGTTTCGCGACCACTCTTATATGTGACATTGTTGTTCCCAGGTGGCTTGAACTCAAGCAAATGAGTAGCTTGTTCTGAAATAATAACAAAGTCAATAAACAAAAAAGTTCATGTTGACAATATTAATAAAAAAAGTCAAATGAACGTACAAAAACTTCAAATAAGTTCAATGTACTGAGAAATGAAGAATATATCACTTGATCAGTCTACAATAATCAAGACAAAAAGTATCTAAGAATTTTATAATTATATTCAGAAAATCAAAAGAATCGAAGTTTAATATATGCACTTTTTGGTCAGTTTTTTATTTAATCAACTTTAAACATGTTTAACAAACTTCCATGTATTATTAATCAGTGAAAAAAAAAACTACATAAATTTTATAAAAAGTTGAATCAGACAAATGATTTGTGAGTACGAGAAAATTGCTTNCTTTTTTAAATGTTGGGGGCCCTTTGTCCCACATTGAAACATTCCTAGAATGAACACTGTAATAGTGGGAAAGCACTTGTAACATATCAAGTCACCTTACTGTTTAAACAATGCTGGACTGTCCCTGTAATGTGAACCATGACCTTAAGTGTTGTTTTGTATGGTCACCACAGGGCTCACTACCCACAGAATGAATAGTCAATTTAAACAAAAAAAAAAAAAAAAAAAAAAAAAAACAAGGTGGACAAACGATTCATCTTCTTGATATAGGCATAAACAACCCTTTGAACTCACTGTTCTAGCACTCCCTACACCAGCAATCTTCTGACAATCTGGTGACCATCGGGCTGCATACATCCACTCACAACCTGGACGGAGAGTCTTATACATGTTTCCGTCATCATACATGTCCCAAAGTTTAATTGTTCCATCTCTTGAGGCCGAGGCCAACCTCAGACTTCCATCAGGAGCAAAATGTAGACCACGGACCACTGTTTTGTGATCATAGAGTTCTGTAATTAGTTTATCTGAAGAAAGACAAGTTCATACTGAAGTGTATGTGCCTGATCACTTCAAAATACTTTCATATAGAAAATAAAGTCATAAATAAAGAATTAAGACATACTGCTGATCAAAACAACTGATATTCAAGAAAGAAAAAAATCTTACTTGTGTCCAATTCCCATATTTTGATTCTTCCATTGTTCAGCCCAATGGCAAGCATGAGATTCGCAGAACGAACATGATGGTAGTTTATACTACATGTTCTTGGGATTTTCTCAGACACTGCAGACCCTATAGCTACAGACCATACCAATTCTCCTGCATCTATTGTACAACCCTTGTGAGTTAAAATATCTCCATTTTCATTAATGTTGTCAAGCTTTACTCTGAAATACAACAGAGACATTATATCACTGGGCTGTAGCTAGCATGTAGAATTTTCGCCAAGTGCTAAAGGTAACCTACCTCCTTAAAAAAATAAAATATCTAGTAACTCAAAAAATTAAATTAAAATAAAAAAAATTGTTCTTAGCTGAACCCAGAATAATAGCAATCTAAGGTTCTTTTGTGAAACAGGCTGCAGTTTTAAAAAAATCAGTTTTTTTGATAAAATCTAAGTTTACTTAGTCTCTGCTGACTAAGCTGTGTTTCAAAGAATCTACAAGTCTCTTTTTTTAATCTAAAATTTCAGCAAATAGCCAGAAAATTTAGCCCTCTTGGGAGCTGCCTAAACTCAGTTTAAACAACTGAAACTTGTTAATTCAGAGCATAATCAACAAAATTTTCAAAACTAATAACTTATTTAAGATATGCTTTTATCATCTCAATGAATTTTTGTGAAACAAGAGACACTTTTTTCTTTTTTGTATATTAATTTGTAATACAAAATGTTTCCAGAAAACTGAACAATTTATTTCAATTAAATTTTACATCTTATATAAAAAGTTTAAGGATATTGTAACCCTTTATTTTCATCCAGATACCAAAAATGAGTTTTTTCTTGCATCTAATTATTTAGTAATGTATCTATCATTGTGCTGATTAAAAACAATGAAAAAATCCAAGAAAACATAAAATATCTGCATTTATCCTCAATTCAACACCTTTCTATTTTGAGGTGAGATAGCAATCGGTATGGGGTGTAACTTCATCCCTGAACAAGATTTTATCACGGAAATTGGCAAAGTTGACCAGGAGTGTATAGGCAACAATGCCGAGCCATCATTTTGGTTTAAATGTTCTCATTATGGAGTTATGAGCCCCTAATTTCCATAAAACAATGGCATTATTTCGTTTTATCAACGATAAAATCTAAACTAAGACTTTTAAGAAAAATCACTGGCAGGGTTTTGGAGTCCTAATGGCGTCATTAAATTGGTGTTAAAATGGCGATCGTGGGTGCTCAGGTAAAAGAGAAAATTGAGAAACTGGTTTTTCAGTTTTTACCCCAAAATTGCAATTATGACATCACCTGTAAGATGACATATGTGTAAATGTTAATTAATTTAGTCACTGAACAATGAAATCTATTTATTACTCAAAAGAATGTATGTAAGGCAGTAAATAAAGAGTTTTGGGCAAAGGGTTACAATATCCTTAAGCTTTGGTGTTTTATCACCTGCCATTTTGCAGATTTTGACAAATGTCCATTGCTTACGAAGTTTTCTTTGCATGATTCCATGGAATAACTTTTACACATCTTTCTCCAAAAGCACAAGCGAAGTAGGAGCCATCAGGAGCCCAGGCATTGTCCCAAGTTTCGCGACCACTCTTATATGTGACATTGTTGTTCCCAGGTGGCTTGAACTCAAGCAAATGAGTAGCTTGTTCTGAAATAATAACAAAGTCAATAAACAAAAAAGTTCATGTTGACATTATTAATAAAAAAAGTCAAATGAACGTACAAAAACTTCAAATAAAATTTTAAGTTCAATGTACTGAGAAATGAAGAATCTATCACTTGATCAGTCTACAATAATCAAGACAAAAAGTATCTAAGAATTTTGTAATTATATTCAGAAAATCAAAAGAATCGAAGTTTAATATATGCACTTTTTGGTCAGTTTTTTATTTAATCAACTTTAAACATGTTTAACAAACTTCCATGTATTATTAATCAGTGAAAAAAAAAAACTACATAAATTTTATCAAAAGTTGAATCAGACAAATGATTTGTGAGTACGAGAAAATTTGCTATTTTCCTGGATAAATCCCTTTTGGTGGGTTAATCTCATGGATTGTACCTTTAACTATTATTATATTCTCCTAAAAAAACTTGTTTTTATAAGGTGCTTTTACATGAAACATTAATGGCCCAATCAAATAACCTGATGGTATCTGAGGGCATGAAAACCGAGTCCATCTATATAATAAAACCCAATTAAGTTAGGAGAGGTTACTCGTAACCTTATTTGACCTTAATATTTCACCTCACTGTTACCCAACGCCTGACAGTTATATGCCAAAGGACTTTTCTCGATTCATTTCCCTCCTTGTTGCTTTATTATTATCTTTCTGACACACAACATATATTTTAAAAAGAACCCCATTGGAAATGCTTCTGTCCTTACTACTAGTACCCAAGTTTTAACTCCTCATTGCCTGGTATTTAGAACAGACTCAGTGTAATCAATTCAGGTGATATGACGTATTGATACTGTAACATGACCTTACAGAAAGAAAAATAAAGCAACTATCCAGGTCAAGTCAGGGCAACATGACATAGTTACTACATGCCTTGTTATGTACAGTATCTGTACTGTGTCCACTGGACAAAGTGAGAATTTTTGCAGGAATTACTAGTAATGTCATCACCCACCTAGCCTCTAGTACAGAATATGAAACCGTTATCTGTTGGGACCTCTCATGCTGCCAAATTGCTCAGTTTTTGTCAATTGATAATTAAATGTAAATCCCACATAAAAGCCGTTCCTGTTGAACCTATATAATGGTTATAAAACAATGAAAATCTGAACAATAATGACTTTGAAAAGTGACAGATCCTGAAATGAAAACCTTTTCATATTTAAAGACTTCAGACAATTGTTAATTCTAATTAAACAAGCTGTTTTCTTTCCACATCAAAAAGGTGTGACTGTTTCCAATATGTGCAATCTGATTGGTTACAAACCTCAAACAGGTGGATGCAACACTAAAACTACTGTACATAGATGAATACTACACACTTCTTTTAATTAGTACTGGTGATTATAGCTAACAGGTATATTAAGAACTAGTATATTTCAACATTGGTCATTTAAGACTAAAACGTGTAAATATACATGTGCACTTTTTGCTGCTTCCCCCCTACAAGTTATCAACATAACCTGGATTTATGCCAACACTTATTTCCCCACGTGATGTCTCTTCCAGAATGTTCAACCAAAATGCGCCCAGAAAATGAGCTCTGAAGTGGATTTATTCATAGACAAAATGTTTGTTTTTCATACCTGGAAACTCCTGGAGATTAATCATTCATAGAGGTGTGATTTAACATCATTATTATAGAATCATAAATCAGCTTATATCAATATTTGAAAACCATTCTAAAACCCACCTTATAGCTTTGAAACATGCAAGTTATAAATATGATCAAATCAGCTTATGAAATGGCATCACTCAATAGATACACCTATGATAATGAACATGAGCAACTATGAAGCAAAAGCACAGTCTTTTTATAGTAACTATAAATGGCTGGCACTATTCATATTAAGACAAATGGCAGCAGGAGGAGACATTAGCAAGCAACAAAATGTTTTGTTTTCACGACTAATAAAACATGACCTGTACATGACAGACAGCCCATGCTACAATTCACCTGTCTGAACTGAACTTTTAATTGTCCTAGACAGTCTAGTGCAGTTGTACGTTGGTATCAAGCCCTGACAGCATATTCATATCAGTGGACAATGATAAATATGGTTGCTAAAGCACACAATCAGTTGCCTGAAATGTCTACCACATGTCTGAGAGGATATATGGATATGAAAGTTGAGAAGAAACTACAGTGTAGCTTACACAAAGGAGTAAAAAATGTAAACATATCTTAATCATAATCAGAATTACAAAAATAAATGAAAACAACAAAAAATAAAAAAACTATAACTAGATGCAAATTGACATACAGGCTAGCTTTATGTAAGAGCTAATTCCCTATCTACAAAATAAATATCTTGGAAGCAAATTCCAGAAAAAGGTATAAGCACATTCAGCAGGTGATATTTCAAGAATGGCAGTGCTGCCATATTCATATTCATATTCATGACAGTAAGTGTGCATGAAGGTCAAACAATCAATCAATAAAACACAAGCAGAGATACACATATACAAACATCAAACCATACTTAAATGACTTAAAATGAAATTGTCAGGTTTTCTTTTAAAACATTCACTCACCAGTAACAAACTCTGATAAATTCTCTTCAAGTAAATGTTGAATTCTCATCCTATGGTTTTTAAGGAAAACTGATCTCCCTTTAAATCTATACTATAATTCTAGAATGAGCATACTACATTCGCCTATATGTGACTCTACTCATGCGCATTTTTCTCGACTTTTATATTACCCCAGTTTGACCCATTTTAATGTCTGAAAGTCTGACCAATGATGCAGGTCTTTATCTAGGTCACTTGATTTATCTAGATCTATATTTAGCATCACTTTTGTCTTGTCTCTGTAAAGACCATAAAGATGGATGGTTATTTATAATTTACTGATACAGAAACAAAGCATAAAAAATGACAACATCATACACAAAAAAATGTCAATACAATTTATGTCAGCTAGCACCTGTATTCCTCCATGGACATAATAAATATAAAGGTGCATTTTCTATCATTTCTTCTGTACATATGTAGCATACTAGTACGTGTGCTGTATCAGAAATAAGCATAAACCCCATAAGAATATAGTACCAACTTTGAAAGTTTCAACGGGCCCAATAAAATTTAGCTGTGAAAAATAGGATTACATGTACCTCTGTATGTTTGTCTTAAACTGTTTATTTGGAACATGTTTGGAAACATTACCTGCACAAACTGTATAATTTAGAAAGCAAATATATCCAGTTAAGTGAAGATGGCTTTGAAAATCATTTTTAAAATAACTATATAAAATAAGAGATTCAGGTAACAGGGAAGGGGGGGGGGATTAAAGGCAGTGCTGACAGCCTCCTTTTAGGCTATCATAGATGATTGCCAACTCTTGAAGTTCAAATCGCTGAAACCTTTCCTGGTCGGATGACCCGAAAAAGCCTGTTTGTGGTTCCTGGTCCAAAGGAAACTGTGCTGGGTCCATGCTATTTTTTTTTATTTATAAAGATGACTTTTGCAACAGAAATTTGGATCAAAATGTGTAGCAAAAAGCTTCTATTTTCTTTTATGTTTTTCAAGTTACATATATAATTCTTCTTTTATTTGAAAGATCATTATTTCTTCTACATTTTTATACATTGTGTCTGTATTGAAATTGTTGGAACACCAATTAAGTCAAAGATAATAACTTAGAAAAAGAAAAATGATGCAAACTTGAGAAATACATTAGGGGTATGACTTTATAAATTTGGCTAACATTGTCATTTAAAATAATTTTGGAGTACAATTGCATTTATATGTTTTCTATCATAATCAACAATATAAATTTAAAGGCATTCTGATGAAAAATGTAAATATTATGACATTTCATTGTCTTAATGTATCTTAATGCCAAAAGTTGAAAGAAATTATAGTAGATTTTAGGAAAAATCCAACAGAAATCAGCCCTCTTATGATTCCGAGGTTAAAATAGACATTTTAAATTTCTTGGCATACATATATCTCTGATGATCCTAAATGGCATCAACATAGATAAAATTGTCTGTAAGGCTCAGCAAAGACTTTACTTCCTATGGTGATTGAGGTCATTCTATGTTAACCAAGAACTGCTGGCAAAATTTTACCAGACAGTGATTGAGAGTGTACTGACACTCTCATTCACTGTCTGGTACAGTAGTGCTACAGCAGAAGACAAGAATCACTTTGATCGCATGGTAAAAACTGCCAGCCGCATTGTAGTTAGGGAATTGCCCTAAATTGAATGTTTGTATACGAGACGAGTGCTCAAGAAAGTGAAGTCAATCACGGGTGACCCTGGTCATCCAACGAATAGTCTACTTATACCCATGTCATCAAGTCAACTACGGTCATTAAAGGCAACTTCCACTTGCACTAAAAAATAGCTTTTGCCCATCAGCAGTACGTATATTTAATGAGCAAAATGAATTTTAATTATTCTATTGTATTTTATTTTTAAAATCGACAGATCATATCAATTTTCATTTTGTGCTTTTATGTATAAATATATGACAATAAATTATTAATATTATTATTTCAGTACTATAAAGGGTATGGTTTTCGGTATGATTCCCCAGGTGATGACTTGACCAACTTTAATGACCAGGAAAGAGTTAAATTTACAACAAAAGGTATATTCACTTTCCTTTAAAGGTCAGTGACCTCACATCTTTACTATTTTGGTTAAACAGCACGTAAAACCACTGCTAAATCAGGTGGTTTTACATGCTGTATTGCTATTATGACATGCATACACATACTAGTAATATATTAAGACACCTTATAGCTTTTGGACTAATGTTCATTCCCCTATGAATAGACAGAACTCTATGTCTGTGTCCAACAGACCATACAATATTGTGAAAAATAATTTTGAGTTTGCATGATGAAAACTGAATATTTCAGACCAAACGTGTTAACAAATGAAGCAAACTTCTAAAATTGTTGCCTTCTAGATAAACTTATCAACCTGTATAAAACTACTTAAAATTCAGTCATTCTTACCCTTGAACCCGCCTGACATTCCGTCTCAGCATACAGAGTGCAGAACACCCATATTTAATGGAGTCAATAGAGCAGACCAACTACATGACATGTGTCATGTCATGAAATCCCAGAGGAACTGTTACAAAGACATGGCCTTGCTTGCAAATTTGACACCATTACTTATCGTAGGCACAAGGAAGAATTTGATCAATAGTAACTCATGAAGTAGGAGTAGTTGGCACATAAACAGGCCATGATCTGGATGATGCAATACCTTGATGCAATACATGTACCTCACATGCAAATGCATTAAGTAAGAAATTTTGCTTCAAATGAGTGGATCCATTCAACAAGAAAAATAAAACATTTCTCTGCAAACATTTGACTACAATGGAGACGACAAATAACCATGTAAACTGTGGATAAAACCAAAGAATATCTTATCTACAAACTATTAAATCAGCAAAGAAACATTTTAATCAGACTGGAAATAAGACAGAGAAACATATATAATAGAGATGATTTTAAAATTTGAAACTCATTTTAATTTCATAAGATATCTAGTAAAATGCCTTCATGGTGACCTTAATCTGCAGTCGGGATCATTAAATTATATTCACTGTGTGTTGATAACATCACAGGATAGATAGCTATTGTTGTTTTGGAACAATTAACTGATCCCGTCTGGAGATGAAGATAGAGTTCTAAAACATCAAAGTCAAAGTTTAAGATTTATATCACATCTATTGCGTATTGTTGGCTGGGGATAATTTAATACTGAACTGACCAATGAAAGAGAAGGGGACCACCCCTCACCTCAAGAGTGCCACTGGACTTTTAGGACAGTTGAGCTTCAGCCACGACTCTGTTAACATCATTTTTAGTTGCTCAGCTTAGCTTAATAAAGTTCTATAACTACACGAAATCTTGTTGGTTATACATACACCCCTAGACATGTATGCCCAGTAGCACTTTTAGAATATGGTCAATGTATGACAGCACTTTTATGTAGAATAAGGCCACACTGATTTAATTTTATGGATGACATCCTCTGAAGATGCCAAAACTAATGCAATCGGAGAAGATAAATGAGATTTGTGAAAACCTAGCATTTTGAGTGGGCTCAGAAGGTGACAGCAATCAGTTTCAGAGTTTTTTTTTCTGAGAATAGGTGAAAATTTATGTGTGCATGGATGCCATCTATAAAATTAAATCAGTGTGGCCTAAGGTCAATGAATGGGGTTGTATTCACATAAATTTTGGTAGGAGGTACATGTAGCCCCTGTTTGTAGTACAATAACCAAGGTATGATATCTAGTCACTTTCAATTAAGGTAAAGATGTCCTTCAGTTTACAATTTCTGAAAAACCCCAAAATGACATGACGGCCATTGAAAAGTAAACAAACTTTGGAATAAATTGTTAGTACCTCAGACTACACTTGATACTGTAGCACACAAATTTTAATGGTACTGAGGCGAAGCAGCTTGCAAATGAAATAAAATACATGAAAAAATTATTCCCACAGATCTAAGTACAAGTGCTTGAATCTGGTCTTTAATTTGTAAAACAAATGCAGCATATAGTGGAAACACATGTAAACAAACTACATATATATATATATATATA